TTCATGATTCGCTGTTTGAATTGACAGGCTTTTCTAGGGTGAACTTTTTAGACTATCTTTCACATAAACAAACTGTTTTTTCTGTTGTCTTAACTGGGTATAATCACTATCAGCATTATAAATGAGGAACAGGGGTTTAGTTTCCTAAGTGTATTCAGGAGCTAGGTTTTTATAAATTTATATAGGAAATACATGACTACATGAAGTACTTAATACTGTCTATTGTCCCTATGTCTATTGGACCTTGAGTGTACGCTAAACATACTCAGTTTTTGATTTAGAACTTCGGTGCTCATTAAAGTTTATACTCATAAATCTGTTGTTGTGCTTCTAGTACAACATTGAAAAAGTTCCCTTAGCAATATCTAGGGTATCTGCAAACTCCTTGAGCCTGTGGGGTTTGCATTATTCATTTATGGGGTCTGATTTCAGTCATTCATTGCCTGTAGCAAGTATCAGGTTCTTAATGTGCTAGAAATGTTAGCATTTTAACATGCGTATATATGGATACACGTGTGTTCTGTCTCTGTGCATGTATCGGTATGTGTGTGTATACACAATACAGCATAAATATGTTGCCTTGTGAACTGCTCAGTTACGTTATCTCATTGTGCAGCATTTTTGTATTCAGTCAGTAGATTTGTTGAATACTGTTCAGTTTGATTCACCTTGTACATTGGTTAGGTTGTAGTCCTAGATGCTATGCAGTCAAACTTCTTCCCTGAAAATTAAGATTATAATATAGCAGAACATTATATATTCTTTTTGTATTAATGGACAGCAAAACTGCCTAGAAACTCTTTTGGGTGGAAGGGTTTGGCAGCTGCTTCAGTGGGCAACTGAAAACCTGGAAATTACTTGAAGTCTCTTTCTTTGTTGGCATATTTCTTGAATTTTAAGCTAAGATAATACTGAATCTTAAAAGAGCAAACATGAGAACTGGCTATATAGGTGAAAGAGAATTATTTATGCATCTCTTACTTCTAATAAAGAATCCAGACCCTTGTCTCTAGAGAAAAGTAAGGAAATTTCCAATTACAAGTTCTAATGCAGAGCTAACGCTGGCAGTTCTTGCTTAGTTTTTTAGATCTATCAAATTTACTTATTGTCCGATTGCCCTGTTATTGATAACAAATAGTGACAAAAGTGACACAAAATACACAAAAAAAGCTAAGAAAATTTTTTAGATATTTTGTGTGTGACATGTATGCAGGTTATTAGATCCAGAGATCCTTATAGTAAGTTAAATTACTACCTTCATAAGATAAACAAACAAAAAATTAAACTTGATCCGATGGGGCATGGCACCAAAAATGACAAAAATATTGTTCAATAGTAGGCAAAATGGTGCAGAACATGTTTTATTTTAGGATGTTGCTGATTAGGGATTGCATTTTCAAATTTTGCAGAAATAAATTTCCCTGAAGCCTAGACCAGACTGACTCAGTATGACTGTAGGCTGGGGACACAAAATCAGTGCTGTTGCACAGCAGCTGTGAAACCTATTGATCACTTGTTCTGCTGATCACTGAATTCAGCATTTTTAGTCATGCCTCTGTTGCCTCCAATTTCCATTGATGCATGCTCTGCTTTCTGAATTTTATTTGGACTGTAGTGGGTTATGCATTATGGTGGAATAGATATATACCGTGGATTCTCTTAAAATCAGAAATATGAAACGGTCAAATTACATGTGCTTTTGGTCAATTGACCAGAATTTTTCTGGTTTAACAGTTTCTGAAGCTGTGTGTTAAGTGGAAGGTGTTTTGGCTAGATAGATCCTTCAATCTCTTTTGTTTTTTTTGTGATTCATGTATTCAAGGTAGAAATATTTGTATTAAACATGTTTAGGCTTTATATATATGGGTGGCAACTTGTAATTTTTCTTCTGGTTTCCTGTCAGAGTTTAAACAAACTGCTCTTGTCTCCTGAGATCGTTCTTCGACTGTTCGAGTCACATGGAAGTGGTGACTGCTGTTCTGTGTCTGGAACAGCTTGTGACTGTTTACTGGAAAAAAGCAGCAGCTACATTGTAAAAATGTGCACTGTAATATCTCTGAATAGCTCTGTTGTTGACACTAGTATAGAAAAATCACCTACTCAACTACAAATACAAGAAGGGTTTATTGTGCAAGACCTACACGTATGACTTGTGTTGTTTGTCTACTTTCCTAAATTTGGGTTAAGCTTGGAAGGTTTGAACCTTTTTATATTGCTCATTATAGAAGTCTGAATGAGGGATAAAAGGTGGTTGAATATAAAATTCCAAACCTGTGCTTAAAAAAGAAGTTCAGTTTCCGGAGGCTTTTGAAAACTGCATCTGTTAAGCTTACATTGCATACTTTCGCATGCCTCATTGTCAGTGTTTAAACCCTCCAGCTGAAATTGGTATGGATGTACTCTCTGTCTTGCCATATTCTAATACTCTGGGTCAAAACTGACAGTCCTGTGTTAGACCTGTAAATTGAGTGCAAAGAAGCTAGGCCAAAAAATCCAGAATGTATTTGTGTTGGATGAAATGGGAATAATTGAAGTTGCAGTAGAGTAGGATTAGTGTTAACACGTTGTACTGTAGCCACACAATTATGAGGAATGGAGGAGGGAAGTAAAAAGGACTGGCTTTGATAAAGAGAGTGATGTAGCTGGCATGTTGTAAACTGTAGTAGATTCAGATTGAATAAGTTTGCATGGATCTTTCATTTCTCTATGGTTCTGTAGCATCAAAGACAAGAAGTACTAAAACAGTTTGGTAATAGTAATTTGTGCTTTTAGCAAGAGTAGCTCCTGTGAGATACTAAAAACCAGTACACTTGACAACAGAATGTTATATGGAAAAAAACCCAAACGTCTGGAAGTTGCACTTCATTTCATGGTGTAATTGGCTTTCCATATCTTTTTATTAGAAATGCAGTGATACGCTGGAGGTAGTGAGAGAGGGAAGAATAAAAACTAGGTTTAGAACAACTGACTTCGGAGAGGGGAAGCTTCACAGGCAGATTGTGACTGAGAACCCGACATTGAATAGTTAAAGATTAACACCAACTGCAAGAAGGAATTGCTTTAATATGCAGTTTGGTCTCTTGCAGTTATTTAAGTAAGTATTAGAAAAAATAATGGGCATTAAGAAGTTTCGGGCCAGGTGCTGCTAGAAGTATTGAAACATTTTCATTAGGATTCAACAGAAGCAGGGTTTGTCTTTCCCATGTACCCCATTATAAGACATTGTTTTCAGTTGCTGCGAACTTGACCAAACTTCAATTATTTGTACTGAAACTGTCAGAATCTGATTTTTTTTTTTTTTTTCAAATTCAAAAGCTTATTTAACCACAGTTTAGTAATGGTTGAGAAAAGACTTTAAAGCTCCAGTACACCTGTCTGTAGAGCTTTTTCACAACTCTTGCCACTTCTGACCTAGATTATGTGTGTATATGATAATCACAGGTCAGTGAAACGTGTCCCCTTACACCTTCAAATAGTCCCAGAATACCCAACATAATTCTGCCAGCTCAAGGCTACAGAGTTAGTCCAGGAACTTTTTGTTGTAGTTTGTCACAACTGAACTAAAAACAGCCATTCTGTTTGCTGCTGCTCTTTGTGACTTCCAGGCTGGTGCCTAATCATATTAGGGTTGAGAGAACTGGTAGGGCAGTTTAGCTAAGTGTTTAGGATGAGGAGCATGTGCAGAGACTGGTTCTTGAGACTACCAAAAGGTGCGTTTCTGCTCAAGCATTTGGAGTGCTAAAGACTGTTCTTTGAGGTTATGGTTACTTGGGTGCAGTGGTAACTACCTGAGGAAAATACCTTCTCTAGATCAGGAGACAGACGAGAGATTTACTCACAGCTCTATCCATACTCATTGGGCATACAGATAACTGATTACCGTCATTATAGAAGAACCCGAAGAACTGACTTTTGCTTGCAAAGCATAGGACACTGTGAGATGACATTTCAGGCAACTGGGATTAAAAATGCCCAACCTGTTATGAGCAAATCATGCTTTAGCAATCTTTAGTCTTTAGTCTCTTTTAGACAGAAACCCACAGCTAATATAAAACTGCACTTTTCTTGAACGTACTTCCTCTCCCGCACTATTTATGGTAGACAGCAGCAGAAGCAGGTGGTTGATCTGATGACAGAAGTGAAAGCACTATACAGGAGTAAAATAAATGACCAAGTTAATTTGCTGAAATTAAGAATTAAATTAGCATTCAGAAACCTCTGTTTTGGAACTAAAAAGTAACATTGCATATAGTGATTTATTTACTTTTTCTTTTGAAATGGTCCTCAGTCTCATTTGCCTGTATGCTTTTCTTATTTCTTAGTTTATCCCAGGCGAATTACTGGGGTTTTTTTATTTCCTTTGGATCTTCTGTTTTGCAAAAGGAAATGGTTGGTCTACTTCATTAGATGGCTACACTAGAAAGTTTGAAATGGTGAGGAGTGTTTAGTGTGTTTGTGTTCTGATTTTTCTTTTATGAAATCACCTGAAAATCTGTTTATAAATGCAAAGCTAGATGTGGACTGATTATTCTGAATTCATGAAGTTCATAAAACTCTCTAAAGTACTTAACAGTAGCCAGCTAATTTCAGTTTTAAAAATAAAATCTAGCAGCTGAAGTACATGAATGTATGCCTTTGTTTAAAAGACAGTGTTGTCCAAATGGATGAATTTTTAATAGTGAAGAATTGTAAATTTTGGTGTCTGGGTATAAGGAAAGTGGTATGTGGTTGGCTTGGTTTTGGTTTTGTTTGTTTTGTTTTGTTTTTTTTTGTTTTTTTTTTTTTTACTTTTAACTGCTGCAGAATACTGTCTATTTTGGAGTGGTAGTTTTCTTTTGTTCCCTGAGTGGTTTTGGTTAAACTCCAGGTTTACCCAGAAGGGGGTGTATAACTTGAAACAGGTAAAGAGTTAGGGATTTCTTGGAACTGCAGACTTAGAATTGTTGTACTTACAAGATTTATATAGGTTTCTCTTTTCCCCTCCACTTTTTCTGTTTTAGGTGAAATTGTGGTAAATGAAGTAAATTTTGTAAGAAAATGCATCGCAACAGATACAAGTCAATATGACCTGTGGGGCAAATTGGTTTGCACTAACTTCAAGATTTCCTTTATTACGGACGATCCGATGCCACTACAGGTTTGTTATTACTCACATTGCTACATCATGATAACAAATGTGGTAAAGTGGATTTAATTAGAATACAATGAATCTGTCCCATATGTGATATAAATATAATGCCTTCTAAAACAAAGCAGGCTAAATGATGAGGTTCCACTGTCCTCTTCTGAATGTGTTGCTGTTCCATCCCTTCATTGAGAATATCAGAACAGAAGTAGTTTGGTATGGAAGTACAGCCAGCTCTATTTGCTTCTGTTTATGGAGGCTTCATGGGGAAGTCGTTTTACAAAAGGCAAAGCAGGAATTATATAAAAATATATGTTCCTCCTTGAAGGTAATTGCAAATGGTCCTTTGACTAAACAAGCATCAGATCAGCAAAGCTTTTAATGTGTCCAAGTTTAATTGGCATTACTGACAGAGGACAAAGTAACCATGAAGCAAGTTTTCATTGTAGATGAAGCAACAACAAAAGGGGAGAAAGAAGCCAAGCCTTTGTCAAAGCAGAACACGTGACATTCAAAACCTCAATTGGTTTTTGAACAGCACAGCATACAGCACTGTTTGGAAATGCGAGTTGTATGCTATTTTCAGTTGAGTTTTCACTTTCATTTTAGGCTGTTAAAAGAAACACTCCACTATCTCCTTTTAGAGCTTTACACAGACCTAGTTAGAAGCTTGTTCAGTAATGGTTAGTAAGTTTGACCAAAATTGCTTCAAAAAATTATTTTTTGACATGAGGTAGTTGTCAAAACTTATTACTGAAAGCTGAGTTAATATTTATTTATTTCTATGGTTACAGTAATTGTTGGAATTTTTTTTATATCATATATATATGTTGTATTGAATTTCTACCAGTGATTTTTGAGGCTAGTAAATTCAGTGCAAGCAGTGGGGTTATTTTACATATTCCACTGGGGTTTCTAAATGGCTTGGTGTGCATTCACTGGCACAAGAGCGCTGTTTCCACAACCTCTCATTGCTTGTGAATAGGCAAGGGTGGTACACGTCAGAAAAGTCTAGGCATGCCTGATTTTTATCGTAGTTTCTTCAAAGTTGTGCTGTCTATCTGGTTGCAAACTGCAACACTGCAATTAATGGCTGTGAGTTAATGTGTTTCAGAAATTCCATTATAAAAACCTCCTCCTTGGTGAACATGATGTCCCACTAACATGCATTGAGCAGATTGTCACAGGTATGTGAAAAAGAGTTAAGTATGATGACAGGCTTTAAACTTACTCAGTTCAAAACTGTTAACTGCTTGTTAGCTGTGCAGAAGTGTTGCCACTTCAGGTTTTATGCCATTAATCTTCTCTGATTTGAATAACGTGGTTTATTTAAAATTAGGATAAAAACCTTAAAAGCTGAATAAAACTTGGTGTCATGCAGGAGGTGTATTTAGTTGGGTCTTTATATTGGTTTTAAATTTAACTACAATACTGAATCAACAGATGTTGTGGGATAGACACTTGTTAGAGCAGTACAGAATTTTGCTAGCAACTTTTTTATATTTGAGCATCTGAATATCTTCCATTTAAATACACTAGATTGCAAAAAGCACATCACTTATACAATTTACACATAGCTGGAATATCGGACAACATAAATGCTCAAGTTTTCAATCTTGTCTAATTCTTAGCAAGTTAGTAATTAGTGGTCCTCAAAAATCTACAGATGACAATAGACATCTTAATCTGAAGAAATAACTTATAAAATACTTATCTTGAAGAAGCAGTTTTTGTTTTGGTGGATGCTTTAGGGTAACCTGTTTAAGAAGAATGTTTTTCATCTTGTAATTGAAGAATTTCATATAGCTGATAACTTTTCAAATCTTTATTATGGCATGGGCTGTAAAATATTTGGTTTTCTGACTGTAGGTAATTTAAATTGTTACTTGTAAGTTTTCAGTGCCCAAAGTTTATCCAGTAATCCATTTCTACTCTGAAAGCTGGTTGTAATCCTCTGAGAAGATTAATGTATATCTGAGGAAGATCATTATGAAGAAATGCCTTTTTTTCAAAACAAACAAACAAACAAACAAAAAACAGAAAACAAAGCAGTGCAATTGATCTGTTATGGTCTTGCACTGGCCCACATTTGTTGTCCCTTTTCAGAAATACCAGGTAGAGGTGACAAAATAGTATCAGTGTTGCAAATCTGTTAATGACAGTTTTGTATGGAGAGATGTTTGTAAATCGAGTGTTGCAATCTTCTCTTTTACCATCTCATGCAAATGCTTATATAATAAATTCTGCTAAATAGCAATCGCATGAAATATGGTGTTCCTAAATGGGAGAAGACTACAGACAGCTTTTGTTTTGAAACTTGAGGGCTGACAGATTCTAGATTGCTCTTTTGTGCATGTTTCTCCAAACTGTCAAATAGCATTAAATGTTTGCAGTTTCAGTAAAATGGTAGAAGTTCTCTAGGAACCCTTTCTGTTTAGCTTTCCCACTGATGTTTGAAGCTCTTTAGCTCCTGCCACACACTTGAGGAGATTCTTTGTTCTTCTGTTATTAAAGTTTACCCTAAATTTAGTGAAGCATAAGCTTTCACTAACAGGAATTAAGGGGATGTTTTCACCTGAGGTTGCTCGATGATTGTTATGTTGAAGGTGAATAGCTGGAGGTGTCCTAAAACACTTGTCTTAAGTTCCCTGGAAGTACTTAAGTTGAACGCAGAAGATGCCTGCAACAAGGAAGCTATGTCAGTTAATCACTCAACAGCTATGTGCCCCTATTTTCCCAGTTACTACAACTAAAATCTCTGTGGCTTTGTAAACTGTGATGCTTACTGCATACAGCTTAACTTTCTGTGAAAAGGAGATACATAGGCCAAGAGACATAGCCTGTCTATGCAGGTCTAGTCCAGCTTGCAATTTACTATGCTTAAATTCTTGGATTTTATGTAAGAAATGAGTTAGTCTTAACTCCAGCACTTTTTTATATCCATCCCAGAAAAAAAAAAAAATTAAATCAGCATATATAGCGATTACTATGCATCAAAAGGGCCTTGCAGCATATGCAATTAACAGGGAGCAAAAATTGCTCTGGGGAATACTGCATGTTAATTCCTTAATTCCTTGTTTGTGAAGATGGACAAAAATTCCTTGTTTGTGAAGTTGTTGATGGACAAAAATAATCTGGGCATACAGAAAACAGTAATTCAGCCACTTACTGAAAGGAGATTGATCAACAGGGGGCCTATAGATTTTTCTACTTTAATTGAACAGTTGAAATATACTACTAAATGAAAAACTGCTGGTAGCAGCATTACTCTGTTTGAGCCAGTCTTGCGTTGCATACTTACAAAACAGTCTGGTAACTTTGTCTTTTCTTTACAGTGAACGACACCAAGAGGAAGCAGAAGGTCCTTGGTCCCAACCAAAAACTTAAATTTAATCCAACTGAATTAATAATTTATTGCAAAGACTTCCGCATCGTCAGATTTCGTTTTGATGAAGCAGGTCCTGAAAGTGCAAAAAAGGTATTATATATTCTTATGAAATCTTGCCTTGTAGTCATTACATGTAGCAACAGCTGTGATAATAAGAACATGTTTTATGTTTTGACAGAGAAGTAGGGGGGAAGAATTGCAAATTAATGACATTCTGTTACGGGAGAATATTTGGATTTTTAGAGTCAAAACTATTAGGTAAAAAATTTAATGTGATGTATTAACTTCTTGTCTTGATGCAAGATAAATCTGTGTTTCTTGTAAGATAAATCTTGTGTTTCTGTCTTTTTAAAAATTGCTAACTTATTAAACAAATCTTTATAAAGGCTGGAAGCTGAATACTGCATTGCAGCTGTACAATAGATGTTTACTTTTTTATGGAAAATGATACATTTTCTGAAAGTCATAAGCTTAATTTACCCATAGGTAAAGCGTACTATCTTAAATATACCCTTCTTACTTGCTTCACACAGCAAATTGTGCAACAGGCTCTTGGAATGACCAGTTACATAAGACTATGTCCCCTTTCTCAGCATTTTGTTAGGAAAGACTTGCATACGTCTTGACAAGAGGAATTACTTCTGTCTGTACATTTACAGAAATTTCATTCCTTCCTTCCTCAGTTTTAACACTTGTCATAAGTCTCAGCCGAATCATACAGTATTATTTAGCCTGGTAAGGCCCAGAGAAGTTTCTGCTAATCTGAGAGGGTCAGTCTACGTAACAGCACTGGCTCAGCAGCTTTCTCGTTCCGTACCGTGCCGTGGGTGGTGACAGCTCCCCTGACCTCCACCGCACCACTTCACAGCCAGACATGGCACAGCAATCGTTTTATAAGGAAGGACCCAATTTACTCACAGAGCTTAAGAATTCCCCCTTCCCAGTAGGATAAAGTTTGAGCTTAAGCATCTCAGTCCGAAGAACCATCTGCCCAGACATAAGTCTGCGGTTACCGGCTGAGTAACTGATGAACCAGTTCATCGCTTCTTCACCTTTTACCCTCTCAGAGAGATCCGCGGGCAGAAGCCCAGGACGGAAGCAGACTGTTCTTGCCACTTTTCTAGGTTCCGCCCTGCCTGTTGCCTTTGCTGTTTGTAACCTTTCCTATCTGGCAGTCTATCAGCAGGCAATTCACCTCTCCCAGCTTCTCTGCAATCTCCCTGGAGCAGCCTGTCTACTGCAATATCTTTATAGCAACTGTTTCTAAGTGGCTGTCAGCTAAAGAAGAGTGATTAGCCTGGAGGAGGGAGGAAGAGAGCGTAAACTCAGCATCTCATTAACACTTTTTGTGCTCCGTGTACTTATGCAAAAGCAAAAAGTGGAACCTTTTTATGAAGGTGCTTGTTTTATATATTTGTAATTACATGGTCTAATGTGATTTCTTTTGATAGGAAGAACAACTAGTTCTAGAGATCAGAAGGATCTGAATCTGTGTGGTTACAAAGATAGTACTGGTGCTGACCAAAAGTGTAGCAGTTATATCAGAATAGGAGAGTGGAAGAAAACTTGCACAAATTGTAATGTCAGCTGTGCGGCTACTATTGCAGTTTTGTTGCATCAAGGAGGTTATTGCAACTTTGTGTGAGTGTATCGCTTTTACTGAACGGGGGATAAATTCTGTTAACCTAATGTAATGTACGCTGAATAACATTACACTGTTAGCATTAAAGTATAAATGTCTAAAACCACGAGATCCTAAGATCAGGTTTGTTCTATCAGGATTTTGCTTAAATTATTTTGGGATGCTGGTGAACACAACTAGAATGGGCTTACACAGCATATTGAATGAAGTTACTTTGTTCTTTCTGGCATTCAGATGGCTTGCTAGCACCATGCTCTTGAAAGATTTTTATCTGGTTTCTGTTCCTGCCCTTCAAGTAACACATATTAGCAAGGTTGTCCTAATGTTTGAAAACAAAGGAAGGTGGTCAGACCTCCTTATAGTTATGAAGAACCTCTTTAGTATGCATTTACTTCCAGCTATTTGTGCATGAAAACATTGGTAGCTGTCTACTTGGAAATAATTGTGTGTGCATAACTTCTGTAGGGAGGACTGCGATTTAAAGTGCAACTGAGTTCTGATAAGAGGGAATTCCTGCTTTTCTCTTTGGCTGAGTGTGCTAGCATTGTCTTATGATGGAGAGAATGTTGTAATAGGGAACTGAAGCATGGAGTCAGAGGTGCTGGATAGGAGGGGCCTGTGGAGCCCACCTTTCTCTTCAGAGTTGTCAGGATTAAATCAGGTTAGCTGTGGATTTTTCCAGTTGTATCTTGAAACCACCAAGGATGGAGAGCCTTCTCCCTCTGTGGGTAACCTGTTCCAGTGTTGCATGTTTTTCCTGATGTCCAGCTTCGATGTCCCAAAATGAGTTTCTGGCTCCTGCCTGTTATGCTATCTGGCAAGACTGAGGCTGTAACTACCTTCCTGCAGTCTCGTTATTGCTAAAGGAGCCCAGTTTCTTTTGAAGATGCACTTCAGGACCATAGTCATCTTGGTAGCCCACGACTGGACCCTCTTCAGTTTCTCATCTTTCCTTTTGACCTGGGGAACTAATCTCCAGCCACCTCTCTGAGAAAAATCAAAATAATTGTCAGCTATATTTTTTCTTCTCACAAAGTCGCTTATGCTTATTTTGGAGCTAGGTATGAAGACCTCCTGAGTAAGAAATGAACTGGATAAATTGTAGTTACATGTTTTATGAAGGTTTTCTAGGGTGCTTAGTGCTGAGAAGCTGCAGAACTCAAAATTTCTGTTGGAATCAGTGAATTGTTTAGGCTATAATTAAAATCATGTCTGAATTACTTAAGAGTTAAGCTTTTCTCAAATCAGGTATTTTGTTTTGGTTTTTTTTCACTTGTGTTTAAAATAAGCAGAAAGGAAGGTGATGTTACAGTTAGCATTACAATCTCTGTTCTGTAAAGCAAGAGACCTGCATGTTGCTGCTATATAAATCATTAATAACGTCCTTTAGCAAACTTTATGTAAATATAGTCAGCTATACAAATTGGAGAAGGGAGATTTCTAACTGTCATCCTGGTAATACAGAGGAGTATCATTCTGTGAATAAAGCGCTGGTAAGTCAAAATGAAATATACACTTCAAACTATGGGAGTACAAATGTCTCTAACTCCTTTCCAGATGCTAGCAAATGTTCTGTTCTGAGCAACAGTTAAATGAAAACAATACACTTGATAATTACTATTTAATAGTGGGCTTTAAAATATATGGAGTAGTTACAAGGAGAACAGATGCTAACTTTATACATTTAAGTAATTTGATTCATGTGTAGTTCCTTGAATGTAATGGAAATACACACCAGCATTCAGTTACATAAATTGGTGTTGGCAAAGAGGATGTAATCTGTTCCTAAGGAAGTATCTATATGTGGTGGACAGAGCATAAGGGAGAATAACAGTTAGTAATTAAGCTGCCTTACTAGAACAGAGAGTATTCTGAGTCTCTTTTGGTAGTAAGTGTGGGAAAAAAAACACTCCAGGTTTGAAAGCAGTGGGTCTTCAGATGTGGACAGTCTGACTGACTTGTTTACATATAGACATGATGTGTGGGTAATATCAGTAGAACTTTCAGAGGTGTTTTTCTCTACCTTCAAGCAGAAACAAATTGGAAGAACACATTGAATTTTGTGGTGAATTACTTTATTTCGGGGTAAATTATTAAGAAGCTTAGAAAACAGTTCTATTAGAAAAATGCTTTCAACATTAGTTGCAGCCGATACATGCTAATAAAATACTGTCTCAAAATTAATCAGCCAAGTAAATATTTTCTTCCTTACTTTTAATAATGGATATTTGGGAGACAAGAGTTAAGGAATAATAGAGAGAATGGAAACTCACACTCATCACTATTTAGTAGCTTAATTCTGTTTTGTCTCTAAGATAAAGCTATAGAGTCTCCGAAGGAAGGAAAGCCAGATGGGTGTGGGAGGAAGTAGAGGATGGAGAAGCAAGGCTAAGCAAGTTGGGGAAGTCTTAAGTTAGGCAGTGTGAAAGAAGCAGCATTTCACATTCCTTAAAGGAAAAGGAATGACTTTGTTCCACAGATCACAACAAACAGTCAAACTGAAAACTCCTGCTAATTTCTAGCCACTACAATACTTGACATCGGGCTAAGAAATTAAAATGTATGAAAAGGTGAGGCTTTAGATCTTACGACTGTTAGATGATGGATAGTGTGTTGCCTCACCACGCATTTGAATCTTGGCAGTGCACCAGAGTGGCACACACCCTATAATCTCCTGTTTCCTAAATATATCTCCATTTTCTCAATCCCTTTCTCTTCTGGAACCCCCCTCAGTTCTTTTCCTTCAGGAAGCCTTTTTAAATGAGTATGAGAGCATTTTCAGAAACACATGCTTAATCAAAACAGAAGGAAAATTATTTATCTCAAATCTTGTTTCCTGTCAGTTCCAATCTGAACTAGCCTTCTCACACGTCATAACACTTGGGATGGAGTGGAACAATTTTTTTCCTAATTGTTATGAAGCATCATATGAAACTCAGTGTTCTGGACAAATGATTTTGGCCATTTCTTATGTCTTCCCCACCTCCCCTTGAACTTCTGTATTACCTTGTTCTAATTGTTTATACAGATCACAAAATTGGGCGTATCTCAAGATACTGGGATTGCATGAGAAGAGCTTATATTTATGGTCTTTGGAGGGGGTGAAGAAAACTTTTTTCAGTAGCAAACTTATCTAAAGGCATTTTAAAAAATATCCATGTATTTTAATATTTCTCTTAAGGCTGAGGAAACCTGTACTTAGAATTCAAGCACATTTGTGTACAAACAAGGATTCTGATATGTAAAAAGGTAATTCAGCTTCTGAAATCCTTGTACTGTTTCCTCTCGTATAGGTTACTTGTATTCAAACCAAATTAAGTATCCTCTATAGCTGGTATGGGAATTGTTATAGAAGAAAAAAAAAAGCAGTTCTCAATTAGACAATTCATAGTTTAGCAGCTAGGAGAACAGGCACGATGGTTAGAGCTGAAAGTCTTGTTAACGGAAAGCTTATTTTCCCAAGAGGACTTTGTGCCTAGGAAGATTAACAAATTCTGTGTGTGGGACTTGATCCGGTCCTGGTTGCATGACTTTCTACTACAGGTGCCTACTCAGAATAGGAATTGCAGTAGCAAAGGACAATAGTATCCTTCCAATGAGTTCGTAAGGCAGGTAGTCTGGCTCAGAGAAGGAGGTGAAATGCAGGGCTGTACTAACTTACTACATCTTAAATAGGACCGTTCAAAACTCTTTTCCAAGAGCAGTAGCAATATTCTGAAGTTTTCCGTCCTTGGTAAAATTCCTGTTGAAGAAGAGGAGGGCTTGCCCTGAAAGTGTAATTTATTTTTCTTAGATAGGGGTTGAAGTGGGGACAATGACATAGGGAAATGGACTTTGAACTATGAAATAATTACAGCCATCGTGTTTACAGCTTTTAGTAAATGAACTTCCCAACAAGCAGCCTATTCTCTCGTTATTTGTCTGAGCCTAAATATCTTTAGCTTTACACAATTGTAAATTGGCAAGAGTACCAAACATTTTTTAGTTTGATGTGAGAACATTTCCTGTAAAACATGTTTGTCTTCCAATTTAAGAGCTTTCTACTTATGGTGATAATCTGCTGAGATCTGTGGAATCTGCTTGTCTTTTGGAACTTTCAGACAATAAAACTACTATATGGATTTATTGAGGAATAAACTGAAAATGAGTATGTCTTTAATACTTGTTTAGTGTATATATGAGTGGAATTTGTCTAATGTAAAAATGAAAACAGTAGCAGGATCAATATCTTTTTTTTAATAACAGCAATAGGGGTACTGAAATTGTATTGTAATATACAGGTTGATTGTTCCACCTGTGCAATACCTGGTATTGTGAGTTATGTCTATACTGTGGAACACCTGGGAGCATTTTTCAGCTGCTGGGTTCAAAAGCAAGCTATGGCCTCATAGGCTTGCTGTCTACCCCCAACAATTTTACCCCTCTTAACACAGCACACATATTCTCTCAAATGTGGCAAGTAAATGACAGACATTTCAGCTGCTGGTTTTAAAAATAGGTTTTACCGTATTTCTCTAGTATTATTTGACAACACAATGGAATTTTTTAATGTCTTGCAGTTCATCCTCAAGCCTTGAGGGTAGAACAGTGTAGTAAAAGGCTTTCATCCTTCACTCCCATCAATGAAGATGAGGAGTAGCTCTGTTAATACCAGTTACTGTAGTGAAAAGTTACGTAGAAAAATAGAAGTCAAAATGTGTGTTGTGTGTACGCAGATTTCCATTTTGTTTCATCGTGTGTGATAGGTAAAAGTAGTCTGTTTAAAAGAGGCCAAGCATTATGGAATAGCTGGCTGCTTCTGCTTTGATTTGTACACTTAAATCACAAGATTTAATAAAATGTGAATGGCTTCCAGTTATTTCATTGTAATTATTAGAAGTTTTATGAAATCCTGGAAGTGAGTGTATAAATGTTAATTGAAAAGTCATGCTAGACTATTTCCCAGTGACACTTTTACTGTTTGGGTTTTTTGGGTGGGTCTCATTCCCCGCCTCCCCTGAATGTTCTGTTCTCTATTTTCATTGTAGAACTGAAAGTGTTGGGAGAAAAGTTAAAGTAATTGTTCTTTTAGGACTCAGTAGGAATTCCTTTGTTGGGGAGTGTTTGTGGAAAACCATTTTCAACTCAAGTTAGTCTACAGTCATTACTGGTTTTATAAATAGTGAGAAATGTCCCCATCAAAAGCCAAAGTAAATTAAAATATGGAGAAGGTTCCATAATGCCATATGTGTTACATACAAGCTAGTAAAAGTGCAACAACTTTCTCTGCAGAACTTAGCAGCGTGAGTGAGGTCTTAACATATCTTCCTGTGGCACAGTGCTGCCAGTAGTATTCATTCAGTTGTGTATCGTGCAAATCTTTTTTATGTCTATGACAATAAGAAAACTTGCTTTCACTAACAGAAAACAGTTTCTTGGATGCACAGAATTTTTTTCAAAAATAGTATCCCAAACTGCTAAACAGTGAATAAATTGTGTCAACATGTTGCCAAATACAAAAAGTCATGGAGAATTGAAGGGAAGAAAATGGAAAGGAACGATTTTAGGTGGTAATAATGTGAATTTAGACTATGTCTTTGTCCCTAATTAAAAACTTTGTCATATGGAATTTCTGTATCTGAACATGTAGCATAGAGTTTTGTGTTTTATAACCTAATTTTCATTAAATATTTCCTTTAGAGATAAGGCAGGTACATTTTAATAAAATGGAGAAGCAAATACCGATGAAAGAAGGCAAAGCTAAAGACTGCAAATGAAGTCCTGAAATCTGGAAAATAACCGTGCCAATCTCTACTTGAAAACTTTTTTCCTTCCTGAATTTAATTCTTATAGATATTAGGATTTTTGTTAAATCTTTTGTATTTAAATCTTTTGTATTTATTAGTGAATATCCGCATTTAAAGAGGCAAAGGCTGGCACAGCTTGACTGTATTTGAAGTCTAGTATCTAATCCTAAACTATGTGCTCCACTCTTAATTTTAATAATTGTGGGGTTCTACCAAAATAAACAATTTATATGGGTAGCATACTAGTTGCTTATGTGATGCTGGTCCTGAGACTGACGCAGAAAATGCGAAAACCTAGGCAACACTCTTCTTTGTGCCCCAAGTTAATCTCTGCTGTTCTGAGGATGCATCTCTTATTTTACCTTTTTGCTGAATTTCCCTTCCCAGGGCAGAGCTTGTGACTCAGCCTGGTTAAACCTGATGAATGCATCAGCTTGTCAGAGACAGTGTTGGAGCTTGCCATAAGCCTGCAGGGATTTAGAAGTTATGGGTGGATTTCTTTTGTGAATGATGTCCAGTCATCTGGGACAGAACCTATAAGGGCTAGGCCAAAGTTTAACGAAGCTGACATCTTACTACCCTCAGAAAATCTGGCTGATGTTTCAGTTCTCAAGATCAGCTGGGGACTGGGAAGGGGGTGATTACTGACATGCTTAATTATCTGTAGATCCCACACACTTGGCAAAAGAACCTACCCTAAAAACTCACTTTTTATTGAAATTGGAGATGGATGGAGAATCTTGAGTTTGTTATTCAGCTGACAAACTACAAGTGACTAGCATGAAGGAAACATCTCTCACCATGAACTACTTGGGGAAAAAAGCTGTTCTTTATTACCAAACAATTTGCTTTTCATTTATATTCATCGATGCCCTTCATAATTTTGGAATGCAATTTAATGAGATGCAGGATTGACATAGGTGCTAGAAGACTTCAGAGAGTAACCTCTTGTTTTCCCTTCCAAGAGCAGAAATTTTTGAAGGTTGAGTTTTGGGTAGCACAGGCTGGTAAGCCTCGTGCCTATATGGGGCGAATTAGTGGGAAAGATAATAAAAATTTAATTTGATATGAATTTTTGGTTAAATATGCTACTTTAGAGAAGAACCAACAGGGCTTTTGTAAAGGGAAATCACACTTCAGAAACCTCATGGCCCAACTGGCAACTTTGTAGAAGAAATATCTGTCCAATGCAGTTGAGTACTGATACCAGGGTGTAGTGTATGTAGTTCAGGAAGTGCCTGAACTGTGAACTGTTGAAAAATATCCTGGTAAAATTTCATTATATTCTTTCCCGTTTTTACTCTCTTCCCTAAGCATCAATCACTGGCCACTGAGTGGACCCTTTGAACTGGCTCTGTATGGCCATTTTTATATTCTTATGCTTTGTTGATAAGTACTCTTTAATTTTATTAAAATAAATAATTATTTATCAAAAGACCAATTGCAAATGAGATTTTGCTGTACTGTGCTCACCACCTGTGTTGTGCTCTTTTCTTTTTCTATTCTTACTTCGGTATCCAGGTGGGCAGGCATGGCACAGTAGCTCCAAATCCTTGCTTGTCTCTGTTGATACAGAGAATCATGTTTGAGGATGCCTCGTGCAGTCTGACCTTTCTTGAAAAAACTTAGTCAGCCCTTATCAGTTAATCACTCTTGATAGATGGTCAAGAACTCACCTACTATGATTACAGCAATTGTCTCTCACCAAATATGTTTAACTATATAATCCACTCCTCAAATAAAATAGAGAATTAAAACATCAGAAGACTGATTTTTAACTTCTGCTCTTCATGTTTCATGCTGTCACAATTAAGAACAATACATTTTATGTCTATGAATAACAGTAATAAATGTTTCTTTCTTAGGTGTGCCTTGCAATAGCTCATTATTCTCAGCCAACGGATCTTCAGCTTCTCTTTGCATTTGAGTATGTTGGGGAAATATATCATAATCCAGGTGAGTATGAAAGTATTTTGATAGGTTTTTTTCTTATTCCATAATACGTAATTTTAGTAAGACTTCTGTGTAGAAGCAGCGGCAAAAAGCATTTGAGGATTTCTCTAGGGGTAATAAAATTGGCTTATTCATCACCCAACCTCTTCCTTTTGGTTGTACATCACTCAATGTGATAGACATTAACGACCAAAATCAAAAGAAATGTCTTTTCTGTCTGAAAGAAAACAAAACTACCTATGTCAGCATGAATACTCATATTTCTCAATTCACGCTTCGATCCTCCTAGTGTATGTCTATATTGGTACTCTAGGTACCTAGCTAATCTCCCATCAGGCAGGCTTGTTCACCTGCCCTTCTTTTGGGAATAAGTTTCTCTTCTGGTGGTATTGCAGGAGGATTTGTGCAACTTGGGACTCCATACCTTCTTTCCTAGAGGCTTACTAGGCAGTTCTTACCACTCAAAACCTCCACCACCCCTGCTGAGCTGGAGCACACCCTCTCTGCTCAAGGCCAATCTCCAACTGAACCTTGTCAGTTAGGTAAGCCTGAAAAAGATGCCTTTGGAACTTGATTTCTAGTGTAATGCTGTGCGGTCACTGCTTAGTGTTCCCCAGCCAATACACAGCCGAAACCCATCAGTTCTAGCGTAACAAGCCTCCAAATAAAGTGCCATTGATGTAGTTCTGTGGTACTGAAATATTTACTCAGCAGCTGGCACTAGAAACCACTGATCTGCCTGTTACAAAATTTGAATGTTGTGGAATTATGAGCTCAGGCCTTCACATTTGCACAAAAATGCCTGTTTTTCAGGCAGGTGCCTACATGACCGCCATGTAAGTGTGCGTGTGATATATTGCACACATAATTAAACGTATAATTTCTCACCTGATAAAACTTGGGCGGTTATTAAGGCCCGTTTACCCATTTGTTATAAAGTACTAGGGAGGAAGCCGATTTGCAGATAAAATCACAATAAAATGTTAAAGTGGAGTGTGAACAAAATGCTAGTCTGTCACAAAATTGCCTTTACTCTGTCCTGAAAATACTATTTGCTTTATGGAAAAATACCTAGTGGAAGAATTACATAAGGTGGGTAAAAAACCATTGTTCCTCTGGAGCATCACACCAGAATGGCAAAAGATAGTTGTTCTTCTGTGCTGCAGTTGCTGGAGAAAAGAGTTGAAATACTTTTGGTCTGGGTTGGGTTTTTTTTGTTGTTGTGAACTCTGGTGTTTGTAGCGTAGGTCTCTGGCTTTGCGCTTTACAATTCCAGCCCCGTGTTTTATGACTCTATCCCTGCTAGTGCCAGTAAAGTAAAAGTTGACATACTGTCTTTGTGCTTCTTGAGGAACATAAAGAGCCTGCATTGCTCTGGTGTGTATGTACATAATTTTTTCCCAGGCTGCATTTGATAATTATATATCCTGCCATTGAACAGTAAAATTAAAATGTTTTTTGGTAATTATCGTATTTCTCTGTATACTGTCTTTGAACAACTACTTTATTGTGATTTTAGTCCATTTTTTTTCTGAAAAACTTAAGTAGTCCGAGTACTAGTGCAAGAATGAAGTTGAGAGATACAGAAAGTAGAAACTACACAATCACAGAGCCATAACACACTATTCTGCTTTGCTTGGGCAGGCACTTAGATCTTTACAGACTCTTGCTAAAGCTAGGCGCTTTCATGGGGGAAGTAAGAGGGTTGAGTCTCCGTTTATTTCACTTTCATCTAAGAATTTACTTCCAAGTGTCAAGAAACAAAATGTAGTCTCCTTTGGCACAGCTGACTGCCACCTTGGCACCTAAAGAGTGAGCAGCAAAGGAGATCCTCCTGTATTAGTAAGACTATATAATCTTCTTGGTCCTAGCCACAAAATGGTAGGCCATCTTTTTGTGTGGATGTAAATATATCTGTATAAAATATATAGATATATTTTAACCTGGCCTTTGATTTATTTTATTTGTTGTTAATACAGCAGTCATTTAAGCTGTTGAAATAATATAATTTTTACTTTGCTTTCTTCATATGGTACCTAATTAAAAGGTTGCCTATAAAGGGTTCATGTTTTTAAAATGTTGCTAACTTTGGCATGCTGAAGAGAGAAATCCTATGACTGAAGAAAACGTTTGTTCCCGAGTGTTACTATGTCTTGCTTTCTATCAAGCAGCACAACATAGCAATTTTATGTTGCTTCTCTGTTGAAATTTCAGGAAAAAATACAATTACATTTTCATGTATTGCCAACCTGTCATTAACTCACTGATCTGTTGTAATACAAAAATAGGTAATGTTAGTCCTAATGCTAGTGCCTCGTTCTTGTAATCAGGAAGGTGAAGAGTTTGATTTTTTTTTTTTTTTCCCCCCTCTTTTTTTTTTTTTGAAATGTGCATTGATGAATTTTCTTTTCCTAGCAAAGAAGGTGAATGGAATAGACCCAGGAGGTGGTGGTGGTGGCATCGGCAGTGCCAGTGGTCAGCAGACGCCTTTGTTTGAAACTTACTCTGATTGGGATAGAGAGATCAAAAGGACAGGTGCATCAGAGTGGAGAGTTTGTTCAGTCAATGAAGGTTATATGATTTCCACTTGGTAAGTTTCTCCTATAATGCAAGTAGAAGAAAACAAGGCAATTATACTGTCTTTTCCTGTCCCCTCTACCAAAGCGTCCATCCTACCGAACTGTGCGCTTCACCTCTTAAACGTGCCACTCTCTGGAGAGGCCCTCAGTTGAAAAATCATGTGAGTGTTGTCATTAAAGGAAATGTCGTATTTTGGCATCTGTTGCTTTCATGCTCTTCTACTTCCCTCTGAAACATGCACGTTTCTAAACAAACACATCTCAGCTGTCCCAGTGGGAGATAAGATCATGCAGACATACAGGGCAACCAGTTAGCAGTGGAGTATTAGGGGCCGGTGCATTATAGTTTAACAGAGTTGGTAAGACAGCATTGCAACAAGAGGAGAGCTGATAAAATACATAGGGAAAAGTAACCTTTTGTATCATATTTTTTCCTCAAGCCTTCCAGAATATTTTGTGGTTCCATCTTCCTTAGCAGATCAAGACCTTAAGCTATACTCCTACTCTTTTATTGGGAGACGAATGCCGGTAAGTGTAGTCTTTGTTCTGTTACTGTTCTTGATCATTGTACAATATTAATCTTAAAGAAACATATGCCAATTAACAGAGTTTTGTGTGTAGCATTAAGAAGAAAATTTCTGTGGAATAACACTAACCTGCATTATTTTGTTGTTTCTTTTGTTGCTTTTTTTGCATATTAGTTATGGTCCTGGAATCATCCTAATGGGAGTGCCCTTGTAAGAATGGCCAACATTAAAGATGTATTGCAACAAAGAAGAATTGATCAAAGGTAAGTGATTAGTCATATTATTCCTTAGTCAGATACGTAGGAGAACACAAGTGGTGACTGTGTGTAACATACAGGAGAAATTGGTAATTGAGAGCATGCTTGTTTAATAAGGTTGTAGTGCAACAGCTTTTGAGAAACTCTGAATGTAGTCCTGGCACAGTTTCTATTCAAGGTCCGCTTCAGTTTTGAATACTGAGTGATGTTTCAAATTTTAAGGGATGTTTATTTTTTAGGCATCTAGTCATTCAGGTGACAGAATTTATTGATAAAAGGATCAGACTTAATCTTTTCTATTGATGGTCCTGTAGTATGACTTGTGTTGGTGGCGATTTTCTTACTCGCTTTAGCCAGACAAAAATTATTTATCGGTGGCATTGGGAAGTACAGTTCTATACATTTAGTGCCACAATGCACATGTTATTTCTGTGAAATATTTGTCATTCACTGTCCTTGATGAAAGATGAAGGCATTTAGAGCCTCCCATAAGTAGTTCACTAGCTTGGTATTTTTTGTCCTTTGGTTTAATTTGTAGAGTGACTTTTTGTAGTAGTACAAGCACTTGCATTGTGTGTACTAAGCTGGAGCTCTGAGTTTTATTTGAAAACCTGTCATATTTCCTGGCTTTATAAACTTTATATATGTTCTGTTTATGTAGTTTTTATATGTCTTACTAAAAATTGTGGAAAATTAAAAATTGCGTGGAGCTGTTGAACTGTAAGTCAGCCTCAGATTTTTGTTTCCCAAACATGTTGCTTTAATGATCCAGGGTTTCCATTTTTTTTGTTGTGTAACTAGCAGATATCAAAAATACTTGAGTCAATAGCTTTGTGGCAGGAGCAATATATCTCCTGAATATAAGCTAAGAAACTTCTTTTAATAAGGTGCATGTTTTTTGTGGTTTTAGTTGTTTGCAGTTAAAGACAGTGGCATGTCTCTTGAAAAACTGTTTCTCTCCTCGCCAGTAATAAAATGGCTGTTTCTTTTTCTGACTTAGGATTTGTAATGCAATAACTCGAAGCCATCCCCTGAGAAGTGACGTTTACAAATCTGATCTGGACAAGTGTCTCCCCAACATCCAGGAAATCCAGGCTGCACATATCAAACTCAAACAGCTGTGTGTTAATGGTAAGCTGGACTGTCCTTCTTTCGTGGTGGCTATTTTCTTGAAATACAACAAATTCTAATAGATCTGGCTAACAGGAGTAGTTTGAAGTTGTTCTGCAATGTAATTACTTTCCTTGTTGCAGAGCCTTTTGAAGAAACTGAAGAGAAATGGCTATCCTCGCTGGAAAATACTCACTGGTTAGAGTATATTAGGTTTGTACCATTAATAAAATGATGGTTAATGAGATGTGAAAAACTTTCACCAGTGTAAATAAGCAGCGAATCAGTTGAAGGATTCTCTATTTTAATATATGAGTTAGGTAAATATCGATATCCCAAGTATTTTTTTTTCTAGAGTGCAAACCTGTTATGTCAACTGTTGTATCACTTTCTTTTCCTGTCTAGATCTTTTCTTAAGCATTCTGCTGAGCTTGTATATATGATGGAGTGTAAGCATGTTTCTGTAATTCTACAAGGTAAGACAACCATAAAGCAAGCTGTAATTCTGAGCATTAGTACGATAATGTAGATAAACACATTTAGATAAAATCAATTGTAATCTTTGTACAGAAACCCCATCATTTCTAAATATTTCAGGCACTTGAGGCGTTAGGAAAATAATTTTGTTACATATCTGAACTGTAGTATAGTCCATAGCATCAGAGGAATACTTCACTTTGAGTCTTGAGGTTTTTATTGTGATGATATCAGAATAAACTTTAGGGTGAACTTTTGTACTGTGTTAATTGGGCTAATACTCCTTTCATAAGAAATATCAATTTTATTCAGAGGTTCTGTATACAAAAGTATTTCACTAACAGCAGCTGCTGTTGTGTAGGTGCAAACAGATATTCCAGGAAAAAAAAGACACTGAAAATCTTGTTCATATCAAGATGAGAAATTTTGCAATTTCAGTAATTTTTACAAGACCCATTCAGCTGGTATATCCCACTCTTCCTGTACGATGGCTTTCCAAAAACTGCCTCAGGGTGGAAAATATGTTGAAAATTTCCAGCAACATGAACTACCTCCTTCTCAGCACATCTTGGTTTAAATACCAGGCGTTTGGGTGGGTATTTTGTTCTTGATGAATGCACTGTTGTGCTGGATACTGCAGGAACCGATGAGTCTCAGTTTAAAAAAAAAAAAAAGGTTGGTTTCTCTTCTAGTTCTCTCGTTTTTTTGAAACTATGAGAACAATTACAGCAGCAAAAAGCATGTTTTAAAAGAAATTCAAAGAAAAGCACTAGACCTAGTTGCCACTTTCTGCTCTTTGAGATCTAATTCTGCTTATGTGCATATATACCTTATGTATTTCACACATTCTGTATGTTATTCACAGAGGAAGAGGGACGGGACCTGAGCTGTCTTGCTGCTTCTCTCATTCAAGTCATGCTGGATCCCTATTTTCGAACGATTGTTGGATTTCAAAGCTTAATACAGAAGGAATGGGTCATGGCAGGATACCAGTTTTTAGATAGGTGTAACCACTTAAAGAGATCTGACAAAGAGGTAAAAATTAATTGTATTTGTATGTGATAACAGTATCTGGTTAATATCAGACTGAACATTTATTCACGTAGAAATCTAAAAGTAAAAATATTTTTAGTACTTTCAAATCTCATGAAACTAGTATCAGAGCAAATCAGTCTTTGTCCAGGATAGAGGTAAATTATCTTCATCCACTGTAGCCATGTGAGAATCAGTGAAAAACCAGGTGCAATCAAATCTTGCTGGGTTTTTATGTTGCTTCAGTGTTACACGTGGAAAAGTCCCACTGTGACAAGTGCTAGCACAGCCAACATTTAAAATTGAAATAGAAGGGAGGTGGGGGTGGGTTTGGAGGGTGTTGTTTCTTTTGTTTGTTTTACCAAGAGTATCTGTTTTCATCCCAGTCCTCTTGAACACAAAGTCCTATCAATATGCAATACTTTCAAAGTATTGAGCTGATCAAGAAGCACTGCAGCTTTATGAACTGATGCACAGCTGCCAAGCAGATTCATAGAGGGCAGCACAGTGCTTGACTTTCAGTCTTTCCAGCTAATCTTATCTGGCCTCTTCATAGCAAAGGAGAGACTTGTAATTGCAGTTGGAAAAATAGAGGACCCTAGGTCAGCAGCCTTTTTCGGGGACAATGCCCAAGAATAACAGAAAAGTGATATCCCCAGAGAGTGGAGCCAACAGGTAAACTGAGGACACTGGGCACTAAGCAGAGGAAATGCAGGGAGAGCTAAAGAAACTGAAATACCAAGGGGGGGAAATAATGAGAAAGCAGATATTTTGACCCTGGGAAAGGATATACAGAAGAGTGAAACTGGGAAGAGGAAAATACTCTAAAATGATTGTTTATACTTTTGCCATTTGTGGGCCACTGTGGAAGGAGCCAGACAGTGTAGCGAGACGTTAATGTGGCTGAATCATACGCTCTCCAGGAATTTCAAACAAGAAGCATATACATTGTGAAAACAAGGCCAAGTAGTAAAGAAAGCTCATACAAGCACTAATTTGGAAATTACGAGGGACATACAGGATGGCCGAAAGCATTTTTGCTGCTACATGAGTATGAAGAGAGCCTGAGAAAGAACTGACTGGCTTCTGACAGTGGAGGGAAGGCTGTGGGAAGGTTAACGCTGAGAAAGCCCGTGACATAGCTGCTGGTGAAAGTGGCTAAACGGGAACACAGGGTATTTACAGTTGCATAAAATACTCTGACGGGTTTACCCTGTTGAGGAATGTACCAGCGGTGCAGCTGAGTACCCTAATGGAGCACTAACTGCAGAGAAGTTGGTATGACTTGGGAAAAGCTTATGTTAAATCTAGTAATTCTTTGTTTCTTTCCCCAGTCTCCTTTGTTCTTGATGTTTCTTGACTGTGTTTGGCAGCTGCTAGAACAATACCCAGCAGCCTTCGAGTTTTCTGAAATGTACTTGACCATATTGTACGACAGTGCACGTATCTCACTGTTTGGCACTTTCCTTTTCAATTGTCCTCATCAGCGAGTAAAGGAAAGCACTGTGAGTATGAAGTGTTGCATCTACTTTTCAAATAAGAGACTTCAGCATGCCCCTCTGGAAATAACATCATCTCAACTAAATGCTATTCCTTTGTATTTTTCAAAGTGTCGCACTCTGTTTGAGGCAAAATACTCAGCTCCCTAGATGAATATGATCCGAATGTCCTTTCGGGTGATCTTTGCATAGACAGTAACTAACTATTCAGGAAGAAAGTCTGTTGAATTTCTTTCTTCTTTTTTTCTAGAAAAGCATTGTTATTGTACATTATTATTTGTACTCCTCTAGGAAACAGATTTATATCTGGAACTGATAAAGCAGAATGACAGGCAATAAATAGAATTTCACACTTCAGTCAAACTTTGAAATCTCTTGACATAATTGTTTAAATGGTTGAGAAAGTTGGAAAAGACTGCATAAAGTTTAAATAGTACTGCACAATGAAGATATTTAGAGAACTGAACACTTAAATTTGTTTTTGAAAACTGGTGCTTATCAGAACTGTGTGTAGAAAACATTTGATGGCTGATAAAGTCAAGCTTCCTTAGTTTGTTAAATATTTTCCCTTTAAAGTTATAGGTGGCTACCTCACAGAGAAGTAGAGCATTGGGGAACCTTCAGTGTATTCTCAAAAGAACAGTTTTGGGGTTTTATGAGTAAACAAACAAACAATATATTTGAAAAGTAATTTTTGCTAAGTAAGCAGTAGTCCTGCCTCTGCACTGCACAAGTGAGGGTGCCGGTGTTTTCTCCAGCAGCAGACTGTCTTGCTGCTCTGTTGCTTTGGTCTGCAGCCACCTCGGTATTATATCCCTGCTCTTCTTTGCCCAATAGGTATGCACTGGTTTATAATTAAGATTAGTGAATAAGCCTATGTTCTTTGATTTTTAATATGCCTGAATGTTAACTTCTTGCAGGAATTTGCCATAAGCAAAAATATTCAGCTTGGTGATGAGAAAGGCCTCAGATTTCCTTGTGTTTGGGACTGGTCTCTTCAGTTTACAGGCAGGGATCGCCTGCTCTTCCACAACCCTTTGTATATTGGGAAGAGTGCACCATGTGTACAAAACGGAGCAGTGAAAACTTTCAAACGCTCAAAGGTAACTGTAGTGTCTGTGAATGGATTGTTTCTGTGCTTAACCATAAGGTCTTAATGCTTAAAAATTTACAGTTATGTAGTGTTTTACACCCTCAGTTTAGAGATAGGAGCATTAATTCTCTTAGCTTCCCAGCTTGAAGAAATTATTTTCTGTAGAAGTTTAGATGTAACTTGTTGAGCCTTGTGTCCAGAACACTTTCTGATGTGGCTGAGCTCACTGCCAACATTTGCATTATTTCAAGTATGGAAAAGTAATGACATGCCACTTTTTTTCCCCCAGGGTTGTCAGTTTTTTCAGTGACTACCGATTCATTCAATCATTCATTAGTTTAGAAAATCTAGAGAACGTGTATTTCATTGGAAAGGCCGTATGTGGCCACACTGCCTGCCCTGGCAGCCCTGCAGTAGCACCTCACAAGCTCAGAACTGTTTAAAGGTCACATCACTTCTCTGCATGACACATCCTAACAGCTCAGGGAAATCTGCTATTCTGCTGTTTATTCCAGAAAACTGGAAAATTACCGGTGTTTATTTTCTGCAGAAAAACTACAGCTCCACATTGCGAGGTGTCCCCCCAGCATTAAAAAATGGAATCATCGGTGAGCAAGAGTTCCTTCCGAGAAGAAACTCTCTGATACTAAAGCTGAAGCCAGACTTTTTACAGCAACCGGAGAGTCAGAGTAACAGTATGGAGCAGTACTTCAGAGACTGGCTTGCGAAACCTGTTGATTTGCACGGCGTAATTCTACCCCGTATCTCGGGAACACAAATAAAACTCTGGAAACTGTGCTACTTCCGCTGGGTTCCTGAGGCCCAGATTAATCATGGTGGCTTCATCACTGCTTTCCATAAAGTGTCTTTGCTGGCAGATGAAGTAGACATGTTAAACCGGAATCTTCGGCAGTACAAAAGCAACTCTTCTTTGCAAGGCAACTGCTCAGAACTGGATCAAAGCAGGATGTACTTCAGAGCAAACAGTTTCAATGACGCCTCTGGGGCCCCAGACTTTCTCTCCTCCTCATTCCCCTTTTCTCCTGTAGGGAACCTATGCAGACGGAGCATTCTGGGAACACCTTTAAGTAAATTTTTAAGCGGTGCCAAAATCTGGCTATCCACTGAGACGCTTGCAAATGAAGACTAACATGATGTGATGGTTTAAAGGTTTGGGGAGAACACCGCATATAATTTTGTCTTTTCTAAGTTAACACTGCTAAATGCGTAATTGAAAGCTGTAATAATTTTTATATACAAACATTACGTAAGTTTTGCACAAATATTTAAAAGCAAAGCGAGTCATGCTTCAAATCGCACAACGTTGTCTTCAAGTAGTTCTCATCTGCTAGAGCTTCTGGCCCCTAATTCCTTTTCTATTTTTGTGGTTTGGCTCATCATCTGCGATGGAGCATTTCATTAGCTAATTGAAAGGCTTGGTCTGGTCATTAATGAGGCTTCTGCTTGAAATACTTTTTTTTTCCCAGATAGCGAGTGAAGTTCCTTGTGTCAAAACAGCTTGGCAAATCAAAGTAGTTGGGTGCAGTGGACACAGACTGACAGCTGAAATCTGGGAACAAACTATTTTATCAGATTGCCTCTTCAGGAAGAATACTTATATACCTACAGAAATACATAGTAATGTTCTGTGACTTGATCACCCTACATCTGTGTTAATGCAGTATCCATGGGGGGTGTGTGTGTGTGTGTGTGTGTGTGTTCCCTTTTCTTTCTGTCCCCACAATGTATTCATTAACAACTAGTCAAATTTGTGCTCTTTGCCATGAGCTTGACTTTAGACTATAGGAATCAACTTCAGGACAATGCACTGTTAACCTTAAAACATTTACTGTAGATTTGGTAGTGTAGTAGCTTTAGAAGTGCCTTTAATTGGGAGGAAACAGTAGCAAGATTACGCTAACGCAGCTGACCTCTCTCCCAGCCTCAACTTTTTACAGTAGATTGTTGCAGTAAGTTCTTGTTCCATCCCCTGCCTCCCCCTCTCCAGTTCTGGAAATAACAGGCGGCCAGCTCAGGAGACAGCCAGTTTTTCCTCTTTAAGGTTAAGCTTGTTTGTAAGTCTCACGAGAGCCTCACTTTTTTATATAAGCACCTCAAATACTCAGCATTATATCCCTGCACGGATCCTGATCGCTGCTGGCCCTCTCCTCATCCTGTTGTAGGATAAAGGAGCTTTCAGCAGAATTCATACTGGAGCCCTGCTGGGTCCCAGAAAGGAGGACGTGCTCCAAGTGGCCAAATCCACGAGGGGTGCTAGCGCTGTTGTCACTCGTAGGCAGGTGCTGGAAGGAGAGTGCTTAGTGGTGCCTTCTTTTTACGTACTACATGTCCATACGGACAGTGCAACAGACAAGCACTGCTTGCAGGAATGAAATCCAACAGCCTCCCTCAGCTCAGTGCAGCAGCCTCCTCTTTGCTCTGAAACCTTTTAAGCTATACCTCTCCCTGGATGCAGTGCCAGAAAAAGCCCCAAGTTTCACAGGGAGAAAAGCAAGACAGTAAAGTATACTGGGAGGATGGAGGAATAGTAAGGTGTCATCTCATTGGTGACAGCTTCTGTCGACTACCTTCTCTTAACAGCGAGCCTGCATTTTATATTGACTGACTGCTGTGGAAAACACAAACGCTACTGAACCAACACTGAGCCCGTGTTCAGGTGCTGACTCACAAAGTAAGGCACTGAAGACTTTACGTGGTAGACTGGAAGCGATTCTCAGTTAATGGGGGGGGAGCTGTATGATGGTGATAGACGGTATATTGGAGTTATAAAAAAGGCAGGGAGGGATAGAAATTGTTTGCAAAACCAAACTGGTCTTCAGCACAGCCTAAATCACACTCTGCGTTTGGATGTCCAAGATTGCTCGAGTATGTATTTTAGTGCACACACATCTGGAGTGGCCTTACAGCTGCAAGCTTTGTGCTAGAGAAGTGCAGTGTGGACAGGACCCTATTTCCCCGGGGCTGGAAGTGATGAAAGGTGCAGAGCTGCTGGGGGCCACGGGGCGTGCTGCTGCCCCGTGCTGCTGCCCCGTGCTGTCCCTGGTGGGCACAAGCCGGCAGGTTCACTGTAAAGGTGAGCTAAGGGGGAGGGCTGTAGGCTTCCTTCTTGAACTAATTGAACCCCCCGAAAGCTGGTTTTAGGCAAAGAAGCCGAGTGTGTGTGTGTGTGTGTGTGTGTGTGTGCGCGTGCAAATGTGTGTCTGCACGCGGGCACGCACATGGGTGTTACGATATAATGCCAGATTGGTTCTGGTCAGCTGTTTGTGAGGAAAAAACGTGTATTCACCTCAGTTGCCTCATTATGCTGCAAGATGGTCTGAGCATGTTAAATGGTCCACAAACTAGTTGTGTTTATTTACAAACTTGCTGGAGCAGTCATCTAACTTGTTCAATTCATTATTCAAATGTTTGTATTAGTTTGCATTTGTGATTTTTCCTTTTTTTCATTAGCTTACTGCTTTCCCTGGCCTGATACTTGACATAAAAGACCTCAACCTGTGTGCTTAGTGTCTTTTGGTACCATTTTTTTTTCCTTTAAAAATCACAGTTAAAACTAGGGTGTCTTTTTTTTTTTTCCTTAAAAGTATAACTTTTTTGGTTTAAAGGTACCAAAAATGTGTAAATAACTTATTCCACACAGGCAGCTCGTGGAATAAAAAAAAAAAAAAATGTTTAGGCTAGTACCCTTTGGGGGAAAAAAGGGGTACTATATTTAAACAGGATTGTCTTTTATAAGGAGATTTCAGACATTTCTACATTTCAGCTCTAAGACGTGTACAGATGCTGGAGATAGTCCTTGTATTTTATATCTATAGCATGGGAGGGGGTTAAAAATAATATGCCTTTATCATAAACAAAACCTGTCTAACTATTTGCCAAATAGACTTTACAGAAATTTTACACCGTTCCAAAAGGAGAGTTAGGCAAGCAGAGGCCAAGCTGGCATTCAGCAGGGGGAGGAGAGGGGGGGCACCTCCAGCAGGGAGGAAGGGGAGCTACTCACCTTCCCCTATAGAAATGATGACAAGGTTCTGCTTCCTTGTGGTGGCAGGGGCCTTGCCTCCTGAGGAGTCTGAACAACTACTGTGTGCGTCTGTGTGTGTGTGCATGCGTGCCTGCGTATGTTGTTTCTTCCTCTTAAGTTAAACATCTTAAATTTTTAATTTACTTTGAAAAGACAGGTACTAAATGTTAATTTAAAAATATTCTCCAGTCTGCACAGTTGCCTTATTAATAGTCAGTAGGGACTGCTCTGAACATCCCTTAATAACTTTCAAAAGCAATTTTGGGGTCTGAGTACATATCTTTAACTTCTGTGTACAGAATACTGACATACAGGTGTGTGTATATATATGTGTGTGTGTATATATATATATGTACACATTTTTGAATTTTAATTTCTGTTCACCATTTAAAACAAGATACTGTTAATGCCATTTTGGTGTTGCAAGAATAGAAAAACTACCAAGAAACTTATATTTTCTTTGTCTGTTTCTAGAAAACGTGCACTATTTTGGCTGTTACTGGCTGTTATATCATGACTTTTGTACTACACTGTAAACCACTTGGGGGGAAATATGAAATGCTGGTTGATATGGTTAGTGTACCTCCAGTGTCATTAGTTACTGCAAGGTAGCTCTTATTGTAGACTTACTGATCATGGTAGTACTTTAGTCACCATTTACTGCCATGTATCAAAGACATTTATTTCATTCCAGAAATGCATTGGAAAGTGTGTGTTTGTGTGTATATGTATACCCAGGCCTGCACCTGTGTTCAATGTGCACCTGCCTGCAATACCACTTTGATACTAACTGCCTTGGATTTTTAATGAAAATGTAGCAAGTGGGGCAAAGGTTCTGGCTTACTCTCAGATGGAAAGACATTAAAACCAAAAAATTTCTAACATATATTTAAGCAAAGGATGAAATCTTAAATTTTCCTCTAACATAAGAGACAGAAATCTGTACCTCAAATTGCTCTAGGCAGTAGGTTTCTAATGCTGTTGCTGTGATGGTTTGAGTTCACTATTTCAACTGAAACTAAAACCTTTGTGCCTGATAATGACTTATTGAGTAAAGTAGCAGTGCCAGGAAGCTCATAAAACCCTGATGCTGAGTTGTGAATGTGAAGTAAATTAGGCTAAATAAAAGTTCATACCTTTCCACAGCAAACTTGAGGTGGTTTTCTTTCACTTCCTCTAACAAAAAAAATCGTGGGCGTGTGTGTTTGTTTCTTCCAAGAAATGCAGGGACACTGTGCTGTAGAAAGATGATTAATAAAAAAGGTGTGCAAATGAGCTTACTTTCTCACTACATTCTATTATTATGTCTGCTGTTTGTATGGTATGCAGAATCTCTGATACCAGGAAAACTTCTTGGTATGAGAATGAAGACTCCAGAGAAAAGACATTGGCTATGTGCTAAAACAGAGACAAACCCACAGGATTTTGATATCTTGAAAGAGATCTCACCCTTTTGGTTTCATTTCAATTGATGGAATGACTTCTGCATGAGAAAATAAATACATCATTTTGTGTGGGGCAAAACTGACTACTGACTGAGTGCAGTGATCTTGGCCGGGAACAACTCCTGTCTACTACCAGAAATATTTCCCCTTTATACATATAATACAGATACTCACAACAGAAGGCACTGTTAAATAAATTATCCTTTCATACTTAGCAGTGCCTTAAAAGTTAAAAAACCCCAACAATTGTATGCCTGACTCTCAGCCATCATTGACCTGATATATTTTTTTCTATTAAAGTGAAAAACTGAATACATAATACAAAAGGGGGACAGTTAGAGAACCACACTGGTCCTGACAATCCTGGAAAGGCGCAGTTTAAACTTGCACCTTGCAAGGAAACTTGCCTGACATAATGAACTTGGGCCACACAGGCAACATGGAAAGGATGCACCGCATCTTTTATTGTGGAGGATGTTCTCAGCTGGTAGCAGCGTGATGGGAGCTGTTTCTCTTCAAGGGGCAAACCCCCTAGACTACCTGTCATAGACCAAGTGATGGATGGCGGATAGAAGAGAAAGGCTTTGTTCTGAACACACAGCATGACATACACTAAATCATATGACAGTCTTCTCCAAACTATTTCTTAGAATGTTTTATGCTAAAAATAACCACAGTAATGTTCCAAGAAACCAGAATTTCAGAAGAAACTACTTTTAATAAGCAGCATCCAGGAGTGTGTGTCATGGCCCTTCCACTACAAACACCCAAGTTACCTACGAGATCAAGGCCTCTACTGTCAACTGAGGCGTTTACTCTTGCCGCCGATGGCTTGCACGTGACAAACTTCCACTGCAGCACCCAGCTGCTTCAGCTCGCTCAGCCAGATTATCTGCTTGTGGGACAGGCGATCGTTGGGACCTTTCACTTCCACCAGCTACAAGGAAAGGTGGATGATTAGTACTGTGCTGGTGGAGGGACTGGAAGACCATTAGCTCCCACAGGCTAATAAGTGTATTCTTTTCTGGCTGTTATTTGCAACAAAAATAGTGAGGATTTAGCACAATAGAATACCCATGGGGTACTAAATTATTAGCTCATGTTTAGAAGTTTAAGAGAATGCCATTTTATAGGGTAAATATCCACCAAAACACAGAGACACTGGTGAATGAAGATACCACATATTCAAAAATAGATTATCTGCAACCTCACCTGTTCCAGCTGATACCGACAGCAACTTAGTTGTTCTAGAGAACTGAGTTCTGCTATTCAGTTCTGGTCTCTAAACACGTAACAAGTTGCTCCAGCAGCTGAGGAATGTCCAATAGTCTTCTAGTGCCTATTCCACTACCATGCAAGGCACATGATTGTTTACTCAACTTTTTTTTCTACAAACCCAGACAGAGCTGTTGTAGGCTCCTATATTCAAGTTTCTGTGTGAGTGGTGACATTGGCACCCCTTGCTAACAGAATGTGTATGATTGGTAACAATTGCTTTACGGTAAATTTAATCAAAGACCTATTCTACACCAATACTTAGCCACCTCTTGCTGTTTCTCATTATGCCTATGAAAGCTACAGCAAAATATGATGCAATAGCAGATAAACAGTCCCCACTGCTTGCCGTAGCCTGCCTCTGGGCAGATGAGCAGCAGGTTTAACTCCACAACAGTTTGTATGAGCTGACAGCTGGAAGGTTTTGCACCTAAAAGGGTAAGATCAGCTGAGCATTGAGTATTTCCATGATCTCCCACTATACCTTAAAGTGATTAGTGTGTGTACACCACACAACCAGGTCAGGAAGTCCCCCTCTGCAATGGCGTAGATCTTTGGAAAGGTGCCTAAAAACACCACTCAGAAATGTTCCTCCAAGGCAAGAGACGAGGCTCTGTAAGAGAAGTTTTGGTAGTTGGCTTTTTTGGAGTGGTTTGGTGGTTTTTTTTTTTAATTGTCTGCACAGCCATTCGCCAATTCTCACAAGACTATTCTAAGGCCCATCTCAGCTTTTTGTTTAGTCGTATGTAACAAGAAGCTTAAGTAGCTGCTACCTATAGCAGGTTCCCTGCTGTGTTTCCCAACTACTGCTGCAGGAAAAGTGAACATATCAGAAAAGAGCTACAGTCCTTGGGATGAGGGAGAATTGTGCTGAATTGTGCCCAATTCCTCCCTCCCTCCACCCACCACCAGTCTTGGCTCAGTACCTCACTACAAACTGTGAGCACACTATGGCCATGTGTGATTTAAGGGCAAGCCGAATCAAACAGAGTGCCCATTCTGCACAACAGTAACTTACCTGAACTTGCTGGAGGGAACTAAAACGCCCCCAGCTAACTAGTGCTGCTGCTTTTCCCTCCTGAGTGGTCCAGACGTCGGTGATCAACTTTGCCAGTGTCTCTGAGGAAGCTGTACAGAGCTGCTGGAGTCTGGCCTCAATGACATCCCTCCTGTTCTCATAGAAGCTGTCAGTGTACAAATCCAGGGGGAATGTCTGTGTAAAAAGGTAAATACAGCTCTGGGGAGCTGCCAGCAAAGCAGCAGTTCTAAGAATGACAATGCCCTACGTACTTTTCTTATCTCAGTTACAAATTCACTCAAACAGCAAGCCAATTTAACTTGAACATGCCACCACACAAATCTTTATTGCATGGGAAAGATCTGCATCTATTTTAACATCCAATTACAGTGCAACAAATGCTGGCCACATCCTAGCCTACGCCCTGTTGGTTTTTGACCTCTAGACAGTGGTTTCCTTTAACACACAGCAAAGCACCATCTGCTCTCCTAACTCTCCGAGCAGTAACATTCTAGCCAGGATTTGGACTCAGTATCAAGACTGCTCAGCTACAGTGAGCTGTCTGAGGTGAGAGGAACAAAACAGCAAGGAAGTATTGCTTGAGCTGCTCAACACATTATCAAAGTCACTGCAGCAATTACTCAATATTCAACACAGCTGAAAAAGGCTATCACATAGTAGCTGAGTGTCTTTCTAGCTTTTCAAAATCAAATGCAGAGCACTTAGAGCAAACTTCAGCCTTACACAAACTGGTGCCACAGCTAATCCCACAAAAAAAAAAACAACAGACTAGGAATGACTGATTCAGGTGCAGGCTTTCAGCTTATCCTTCTTCATAACTGGGGCTCATGAAAGGTCTGCTCTGCATTAGTAAGTAAAATCTAGTTTAAAAAAAAAAACAAAACAAAACAATTTGCAAGTGAGCCATAAATACTGGGCTTCTCATAAAAACATAAAAGTTTTGTTTTCTTTTTTCCTTTTTTGATGTAGGTATAATCTGCATGTAACATTATATAAAAGAAAATGTATTTAGAAGGGCAAGACCTATGGTAATGGTAGTTTTCACTAAGAAAGAAGACCTGCTTTTAACACGTCATTCATACAATTATGGCATCTTACGAGAACAGCAGATACTCCACAAGAAGAGTTATTTGTATGAATTCCATTTACCAATGTTTGTATGGTCTTTGGAGCTACAGCAGTCCCCTTCCCGTCCTGTCTGTGAGCCTGCAAGTGCCTTCATATCCCCCCTCAAAAGCCCAAAGCAAGAAGGACAAGCATAGTTCAGTTCTTTTTGCAAACAGTATTTAACCCTAAATTTACATGGTCAGATGAATACAAGAATCAAGTAGTAAAAGCCATTTGAAAGAACAGCCATTATTCTGTAGTAAGTTGCCTCTTTTCATGGTTGAGTAGCTCTCCAAGGATACGACCAAGTACATACCTATAATCAAGTGCTCATGGATTAAGGAATTATTTCAACACATGACTGTATACATCTTAATAATCCATGTCAATAAACAATAAAAAAAAACAGGTTAAACTTCAGATTAGTGGGACAGAGAGCAACTCATGAATTCACAGTTTTGAGTTTAGTCCTATTGGCCTAATAAAATAATTGTAGTGTCTGACTCTCTAGATTTTTATATCCTTTGCTTAAGAGACTATGTAAGGATGGCCTTGAGGGAATGGATCTCCCTCTCTGCCAATTAAAGACATATAGTTGTAGTGGTCACTAATTAGGGAGACAGCCATCTCCAAAACTACCAGGTGGTTTTCGGCTCATCCACACGGATTTCTACTTCATGCTGGTGAAGAAAAGGGCGGTAGGGGAGACAAGAAGAACCTGCATGTTTCACCTCTAAAATAAGAAGAAATTTCTATCATCTAAGATATCTCATACTGATATAAACCTGTAATTTCTTACAGTACAAATAAATCCAGTTAAGGAAGAGGATAGCCCTGGCTGGTCTACCTCTTGGCCAGGATTCCAATTAAAAGCAATGGGTTAAGGTAGAAGACAGAAGACAACTGTCTGGCCTTTTTCAGTTCTACATTTGAGATGGCTTTTTAGTGTTTTCTTAGCAAATGTCACTAAGTGATCAACTTTTCTAACTGCAATCATTAAAACTGTTTCTAGCTGTAACTTGTAGGATGCAATGCATTTACCTAAAAGCCACAAATTCACTTGGAATCATTAATCTTAGGGTGTGGCAGGGAGTTGTTGTTGGGGGTGTAGTGTTGTTTGTTTGGTTTTCTTGGCAAAAAGGAAGGATGATCCCAGAAGCATAATCACTTTGGGGTGCAGTGGGTGGGAGTGTTAACAAACCCAAGTCTTAAAACATGACTTCCCTTTAAAGGCTACCGAAGGGCAACAGACTTTTTTTTTCCTAATGCAATGCATCATCTTCAAATGAGGTGAACAATGCTGTGCTATAGCAGTATTCTTCCACTGACTATAAAGGAGACTTTCCGCAGAGAGTTCAGATACAGGATATATGCATTTAGCTGGATTAATCCCACCTGACCTGACAGTGGATCCAGACTCACATGGCAATTAGCTACCAAGGAGCCATTTAGTAACAGGCCCAATGTAACAAATAATAAAAGCAAGCAAACGCCAAGATCTGTCTGGAAAGTCCCTCAGAACAAAATGTTAATTGAATCACAAACAAGATTTTAACATGGTCACAGAGTCTACAGCAATAGATAAAGAAAATAATAAAAGAAAGCCTTTAAAAACTACCTGATAGGAATTTCTGAACACGTCAGGTATGTCATCCATGAAAATGATATCCCACATTAGAATACCATACAGTGTAATAAATGTTGAGCCTTCTCCATGGATACCTAAAGGGCATAATTTAATAAAAATGGAAACATTAATTTCTACACCAACCTTATATGAAAAGGCACTAAATCATCATGATTCAAACCACAAACATTCTATGTTCAGGTTTATACACAGCTGAAGTCAGTATATACTAACATTACAGCATCAAGTTATAAATGCTGTCTATCACTTCCTCAGTTTGCTAATGCTTTGCATTTCCAGGCAAGTGGCCTTCAGTTACAGTGTGGGATTAAAGTACAATGCCCTGTCATAAGGCTTACTGTTCTAACTTCAACAATTTTTAATACAAATTGTTTTAAAATGTTTACACTAAAAAAGTAATGTGTTAATAACAAAATGTTTATATATAAGCTTTTTATATTATACCTATACACATACATATATTTCATGCTCACATGAATGACACATATATGTGTGTATGTATATGAACATCAGGAAACACTTTTTCACTGTGAGGGCGACCGAGCACTGGCACACGTGGAGATACTGAAAATCTGGACATGGCCCTGGGCAGCTGGGCTCTAGGTGGCTCTGCTTAAGCAGGGGCCTTGGGCAAACCCAACCAAACCCTGCCAATCCCAACCATTCTGTGATGTATGTTCTGTTATTAGCCTATTATTATATTATATATAATATCATATGTAACGCTACATATAATACATATAGATAATAGAATATATGTTATTGTATTAGATATATAACATAAAGTATATATGCATTATAGCTGTGTGATCTATCACACATATTCCAGAGAAGGGGAGTGTGCGTGCATGCGTGTGTGCGCCATGCTGGACTGGGCGTTGGGTTTCCCTAGGCCTACCACGGAGTCACAGCACTTGTACTGAGCCACTGAGCCCCGATGACTGATGGGGAATAGGTGGGAGTGAGGAATCGAGTGGGCACTTCAGCGCAGTTCTCCCAAATTCTAAATACTGTCACCTTCCCATTTACCCTTTTCTGGTATGGCCACTTCTCCTGCAACAGTATTTGGGAACATATCAGTAACATAAAATTATATTAAAATACTTATTTTATATAAAAATATACATGTTATGTAAAAAAATTACCTGCTTACTTACCTTTTTGAATTTTGCTTTTTTCCTGTAAAACAGGCCCATATATTCTTATTTGTCCATAGCTTTTCACAGCTCTTAAGTTGTAAAAAGATATGAACAACTACTAATAGAGCTGAAAATCAACCCTTTTCAAAAGAAGTTGCTAAGTGTCTTGTTACTCTTTTCACGTCTGTCTAGTACCAACAATCAGTAGACGTTTACCTTTCCTTAATGACACTCCCTTAAATGACACTGATAGTATTTTACCCCTAACAAATAAAATAGCTGCTCACTGATAAGAAAGGCAAGGTAAGTGATTTTCTACGGAGATCAAGAAGAAACTTTAGATTTTTTTCTCAACACATTTCAGAATCACCTTAGGTATATAAAGACAGCAAATAATTAAAGGCCAGGAAGCAGGTCAGGTGGAAAATACATATTAGAGCATTTTCGTAAAGAAATTACATATAAGAGCCATTTGGGAAGGAAACAGATTCAGACTAAAAACTGGTCTAATGAAATCAGCTAAAACTGGTCTATTAACTAAACTGTTTAGTGAATTCGTTCTTTACTCCCACAGGTAATTTAATGTTTTTAAAAAAAAAAAAAAAAAAGAAGTTACTATTACCCTGATCAAAACCATTCTGCCTGTAATGAGTTAACGCCAGCTCCTCAACTGAGCACATAACTGTGGATACACTGGAGTCTTCGCCTCCTTCTTCATCACCAATATCCTCCATTAGAAATACAGACTTTCCCATTCCCATCTGAGGACACATCTTTCCTTTGATTGTAACCTGAACATATTAAAAGAACTAGTTACTTTCCAGCATCACATTTAAAAAGCTTTAGCCTGGGTGTTTGAATCTCTCCTAAAACATACACTCCTCCTTTTCAGTTTTCTTAAAATCAGAACTAGAGTTGTTTCCAGAGATCAACTGAATCAAGTTTAACCTGCCATGCACTTGAAATCACTCTGTTTAGCTTTTATAAACTGGCACGTTTTTCAGAAAAACAACATCTAGCAAAAATACTGGGCAGATGAGAATGTAGTCTTTCTATATGCAGGACCAGGAAGAAAGAACACAGACGACTGAGGATACTGATTCTGGACTGAGAAAAAGAAGGGCTGTAAGGAGATATGCAGTGACAAGGCCAAGAGAGAAAGTGAGGCTCTGCTCTGACTTTGCCCAGATACAATTCTCTTTGCAACAATAGAGAAAAGAATGAGTTAAAAAATCCAGTCCGATATGATGCAAGTGCATCATATTGCATATTTGCATAGTACATATTTAGAGCACATAACTCCCAAAGAATATTAAAACAACCTTGCATTTTTTGAGCCACTAATCTAACACTAACAACGTCCTAAGGTTACTACAATTTTTGATTACACACAGGATGCTTGGCCTGAAGACACCAGAGGCAGTGTACCAATTTGATCAGACTCTTCAGACAGAAAAGTTCCAGAGTGTTGTTGGTAAATTAGTGGAGTTTATAGCCCATCAGATTCATAACACATATTCAGTAAAGCAATGCAAATTAAATTGTTGTACAGCTGACCAACTGCAGCTAAGCAGCTGTCCATTTATTACATGAGTAGAAATACTTGTTTACAAGAGGCTTCTGTTTTAGAAACGCATTTGTATTCATTTTCCTGCAGCACGAGTAAGCCAGAGGCTGGTGCACAGCACATAGCAACAGTCTCCCAGATTGTTTTTTCTTGTCAGAAGAAAAAGACCTCATGAGCTGTTATTTCTCAGCAACTTTACTTACGTGTGTCACATCCTCCACAGTTATGACTGGCAGATCATAAAACAGGCATCTGAACTGCTTGCAGCTTGGTGAGTCTCTGATTCGTAAGGCCCGCTGGTAGAGAGAGAGACGGTGCCCCGTACGTACAAACGGGTCTGCCAGCCCGTTTCTAATGCAGTGAATGGCCTAGCAAAGAGCAAGTTAACAAACAATAATTTAGAAAGACCTATGTACACCTGTCTGTTCTTCCTAAGCCCAAAAGACCAACTGATTTAAGGAGCACAAAAGTAGGAATGTAAAAAACAGCAGATGAGCCAGGCCCACCTTTCTTACTTATGTGCTGCAGTTCTAACTAACATGCACTAGTAGGCTTCTGGATTCAAATTTGCACTAGTACAGCAAGAAGAAATTACTCTCCATTTGTACTGATCAGTATAAGATTAAGGAAGTATAACTTCTACATACGTGACCAGAAAAAAGATCTGGTTCCAAAGTAAATCAGTTTAATTTTAATATTTTCAAGCCAGTTTCTTAACAGCACGTAATATGGAAACAGAAGGTCCAGAGCAGTAGTGCAAGAATGTACATACAGCAGTGCACTACTGCACTGAAGAATATCCACAGTTCAAATATGGAATCCAAAAATGAATTCAAAATCATGGTTCTGACATACTCTCCTTCTGTGACTTGAGGAAGGCACTTAGTCTCAGTTCCTTGTTTATAAATTAGGACAAACTCTTCCTTTGTACAACTTCTAAATCTGGAAAAAGCCTGATATGGGGGTATGAGATGCAGAAGAGACAACTGCAGACATGTGACAGCCTATGATATTACTTCCTTTTAACAGACTTAGAGAATTAAAATGAAACACAAAATACGAGCATTTTAATCCCAATTCTCAACAGACTTAGTGAGGCAAGGAAGCTACATCAAGGGGTAAAAAAAAGTCACTCTATTTATTTAAATAACTCTACAACTGCTACTGTTCCTGGACTTAAAACTTTTTGGTTTTTGACAAATTTTCTTTGTGAAATTAGTCAGGTATTTTAGGTGTGTTTAATTAGATTGGTCTTCTTTGTCTTTTAGTTAAAAGTTGATTTTCAGTCTGCCCATACTTCACTGTGATGTAAACAGTCCTACAGAGTTTAATTTTCAATCACTGACAATATTTCTCCTTTGTATGTAACAGAGTAACAGACAATAAAAATGGACATAATCTCCTGTACTTATAAATCCTCAGACCAGCAGCTGCTGGAACTACCGACCCGCTTTTCTTGCACAAAAAATTAATGGAACTGCAACTGAGCCCTAAAATGAGGTAGACAGTGGCTTCTATGCCTTGTGGCTCTTGAGAAGAAAGTCTGTGAAAAGCTGATGCTGCCTCACAAGTAATTGAAAGGCACAACCTCTACTGCAGCTTGCAGTTTTCTCAGGTTCCTTTATATTTTGCAGCAGAAATCTTTCCAGAGGTGCCAGAAAGTTCTACAGAGATTTACAATAATCCCTGCAGACAATCCTTGTCATTCCCCTGTGGTTATTCTCTCATTCAGCAACATGCCAGCTAATCACCTGGGAAACTCAAAGACCGCTCACGATGTACACAGTGTTTCTAAAAGCCTGAACTGCATCATTCAGACTCAAGACTGGCAAGTTTACCCACTGCACAAATAACGTGTTTTGCTTATACAAACACACCCTGCTGGTGTGTGTGTCCTGCTGGAAGGGAAGAGGACAAAGTTTCAGCAAAAGTTAGATTACCTCAAAGCCTCTTCTCCCCTTGTCTGCCTTCCTAAAAGAATTAAACAGACCTGGATGAACAGAGCTTGTAACATATGCTGTCTAAAAACGCCACTGTTGTTCTTTACCAGTCTAAGGGTGGTCAGTTATGGTTTCTCTTGTAGGACCATGGAAATAGTTTACATTTGCTACTGAAGACAGATAACCCTGCCAGAGCTGTGTACAAATAACAGATTAGAAAAGGGGTTGTCTACTGCTTGACCTGTTACCGTAGAAACCCCACACCAAAACTGGTCCAGGTATAGAAGACAACCTTCTCTCTCCCCACTGGCAACACTTAGCCAAGGACTTAATTATCTTATGTTTTTTGTTTGAAAACATTTAAAAACTCCCTCCAATCATGTCTGCTTTTTTTCATTCCAGATACAGCCTCCACATGACTCGGGTTCAGAAGTAGAAGTGTTTACTGCAAGAAATTTCTCTGCTTCTCACACATTAGTCAAACTTACAAAGCAGAACAGCAAGGAAGATGCTGCCTGGTAACTCCATACAATCCTTCATGCCAAACGGTATTCTTATATGCAACAGAAAAAAGCAGGCCAACCAAGGATGAGGGTACACTCAATATTCAATTTCTTAGGAGAAACTGGTTGCCTGCCCCAGGGATTCCTACCAATATCTGCATTCTTAGGAGAGCCTACCCTGCTGTTCTTCTCATACAAAATATTTTTTAAAAATGTTTTCAGATAATGACGGCAGTGTTTCCAGCTTTACAGCATGCACTTGTGAATATACCTTCTTAGTGTTTTTCAAGTGCTGGTGTAAATTCAGAGCTAGGCGATCCCACCATCGCCCTCTGCTGTCAGTACAATACACATCCTGAGACAGGAGAGTCTGCAGCTCCTGCACCGCTTCCTGTAGCAAGAGGATTATATCTTTATTAATTGTGTTAGAAAAACAAGTTGAAATTTCATTATATAATTAGCTTGTCACTTTTCCTTCTAATTACTGGGTACTATAAAACTTTTGTCTCTGCACAAATCAAACCACATTTTTATTCCAGCACCCAATATATTTAGGTGCATGGGTGTACCTTAAAAACTCTAGAATATTTTTATATAAACTTAAAGGTTAGCTGCCAAAAATACAGTATTTTTGTCCTTCTGTATACCTTATTGTATATGGAAAAGACCTGAATATTACTTCTTCCTTTCTGAAGAGGCAAAGGCTTTTCCAGAATTATCTGGTTTGCTTTAACATGTAAGCCAGAGACCTTTGGAGATGTTAGCTCTTAAGGTGAATAAGCAGGGATTTCATAGGAGACTTTTCTCATTTTAAAGCAATTAGCAAACCCAATGAAACACAGATAACTTTAAAAAATGAAGCAACAATGCCTCAGCAACAGTCCTATGGTATATTACATCTACTAAATCCCCAAGCATAAGCAAAAATCAAAAGAATTTAAAACTTCCTAAAGCATCAAGAAAAAAATGCTCTTTTTTCTTAGAAGTAACCTGTTAAGAGAACTGTAGCAAGTCCTGGCAAACATTATCACCATTTTCCAGCCACATCAGAAATGTAAACTGATGTACAATGCTACATTAAACATATATTTCTTCTATTCACCATTTTACCTTATACATGTGAAGTCTCTGCAAAATTTCAACGCCTTGAGAAAGGATTCTTGTATACACCCAGCCAACTGTGAAATGTCGCAGATACTCAGGTAAAACTCTGTGACAGCTGAAAGATAAGAGCAGTTCAGGTCAATTTGATGTTGTCAATTTAAATTCTTAAAATTCTTATACTAAAGAATACTTAAACCTAAAGCATTTACAAAAATTAAATGCCTTATATATAAAAATTGAAATTAGTATCCCAGCTGAAAAGTCAAGACCCCACAAGCAAGAAAACAGTTTAGCTGAGGTAACAGGTGCAAGCTGCACTTGCATAGCATATTTTGATTTCAATAGCAGAGGAATTATTAGTATGTTTTACATCAGATGCAAAACAATAATTTATTACATCATGTTTTGCTACTGCAAATTTGTTCTAGTAAGTCATAAGGTTAACTTTAGAAACACAGCTGAACAAAAGAAAAAGGCTAGAACAGGCATTTCCTGTCATAAAAAAAGACCAACATCTTTTGAATAGGCACCTCTAAGTTTCAATACAAAGTCTTTTGAATGTCTTATTGACATCAAAATAGGTTTTTCCACTGTCTTCAGGGTGAAATAGAATAGACCTCCAAATGACCCTCTAGAAATATTACTTTAAATCAGTTGTCATGAAATTTAATAAAATGCCAAACAAGGCTTTAACTTTTGGTGTATCATTAGGCCAGAAAACAAAATAATTGAAAGAAAAACTGATGAAGGACACTTCAAAAACAATACCTGTTATTTCAGTTCTCAGATCTTTAGTAACATTTCCTGAATGACACCAACTTGGAAGTCTGACGAGATGAATAACCCAGTATGTTTTCCCATAATGTCTGCAACATTCCTTTGTTCAGTGAATTTTAAATTCTGCTTATTGCTATTTGTCTGAAAGCCATAAAGCAAAGTATGGCAAGGGAAAATAAGGCTCTCAGTCTCCTGCACTGGCACATAAAGCAGAAACATTTTACTGCTTTATCCATGACTACAAATTTATTCCCAAGGTTTTATAAAAAAGGCCTTTTCATATAATCACTTAAAAACTAAACAACCAACCAGGAAGTCCAAAGCTTTCATGAACATTAAAGCTTCTGAGCTTATCAGGCTTAAATAATATCACTAGTCTATAGGCCTCTCTCAGAAGAAAAAGTAACAAAATTAAGACAATACACTCAATATTTCATATGAACACTAGGCTAGTTTCCAGTTTATTACCTCAAAGAGGGATGATTTTTCAGTTCATTCCAGGTTTCTTTAGCACACATATATAGATGATTAGCTTCTTCCCAGTTCCCATTTACCATTGCAGTGGCTATATCATTTGACAGATGAGCAGCAGTTGCATACCTAAGGGAAAAAAAACGTAATTACTGTATTAGGCTCAAAAAGCAGGTATAGTTAAAAGAAATCAATTTCTCCATACTAAACCTTTTAAAAAATCCCTTCCAGTCTCCAAATACATTGAACGATGCAGTCAAGTTTATTCTTATTGTAGGGGCAGCAAAGTTTACATTAGCAAGGTACATTATACTTAAAATTTCTTACAAACTAGAGAACATATATTTTATTTTGTTCAGAGTCCATTCTAATAATCATCACAGCAAATGAAGAAACAACTTTCATCAGAAGATCATGAAGTGAATAAATATGCTATTTTGGTTCAAAATGCAAGCCACTGAATTACAAGTCCTACCTGGACACAAAAATACATTTAGAATTCACTGCAGAAGAGCTCTTCTACCTGTTTACATCTGGAGTTGTACATGATGAAGTCTTATTTCCCTACACAAATACTGCAGTAAAGCTTTTCTAGAAATAAACAGATTTGCAAACTGCCAAATCTCACCCTACCTGATAAGATCTTCTCTGTCCTGGAAGACCTGTGTTTTCCTATTTACAGTGTAACTGGGGAACACCATACGCCCCATGTTTACCATAAGGACTGTGGAGAGCTGGCCTTGACCAGCACTACCAGCTTCTTCATCCTCCATTGACTCAGACAGTGAAAATAGCAGCAGAATTCGAGAAAAGACAGCCCGAGGGCCTTTACAGACCCTGACAGATTTTCCAGCCAGGTCCTTCACCCTGGAAGGACAAACAAAATTATTATAATCAATATTTTTTACCATCACTGATCAAAATTAAAATATACTGAATGCTGTATGAGAATAATTTTCTTTTCAAGCCAATTAATGCGCAAACTTGATTCTCCTTGAAAGAAGCAGCTTGAGAAACTACATAGTGCATTTTATCCTAGCGAAAAGCCAAAGAAATGCATTAACTAGTAAAAAGGGCCAAACTTCAAGCAGAATAGAATTGGAACGAACTGCCCTTTGGGTGCAGCCATTCCTATTGCTATGCCAGGCAGCAGCAACAAGAAACAAGACATGGTTTGCTGTTAGGGCAATGTTTACAGTCCACAATCTGAGATCCCTTGTTTTAGGATATCGCCATTAGCACGTCTTCATCCAGCCTTTTCATACAAGACAAGATTCCTGTTACTTGTCCACAGGACAACACAGATTTAAAACGGGATTTTCCCTGATCCATGGAGTGACTAGTATTTCAGCTGTCAACTACAGCAGAGAACATTACATTGACAAAGTTGACATGGCTGAGCAAGTAACTATCAGCCTCTTTTCTTGAAGTAGGGAGTAAGTCAGTGCCATGGACTTTTTTGGAATATAACTTACTTTCCCAGGTTCTTTTCCATTTCCTGAACACATTTTTTTTTCTAGCTTTCCTTTGTATAGTTTAATCCAATAGTCTGAAAACGATTTTGTGTCTGTTAGAGATACCTATACAAATTATGCAACATGCATTGTCATGTAGTTCAAATATCTAGTATCAAAGAGAAAAAATGAAATCTCAAGTGATACGAAGTATTTTCATACTGAAGTTTTCTATACTTGCATAAGAATGAGGAAACAACCACAGCTCCTTAAATTAAAATACCCTTACTTATCACAAAGTCCCAACATCCTCTGTCTAACACAAGATAATCATGGCTATGGCTATGATCACTTCACCTGTTTTCCTGCAGACCAAATGAAGTGCAATGCTACTGGAGACAGTGACACCAGTATGAAATACTAGAACCACTAGAGCTCCTGTTGTATTTTGAAAACAAAGACCAAACAAAACTACTTTAAAGAAGCCAGCCATACTCTGCAAACCTCCCAGTTGTGAAGCTCTGCAAGCCCAGGACTAAGCTAGCATTAGGTCTCTCTTTTGGCATAAGGAAAGAAGACCTTACTCATTCACAAAACAATAATTCTTCACAGAGGGATGATTTTGAAGTTCTTTCAATACTAGGCCACTTTTAATACAAGGAATTTAGTGGAGAATGACGTGACAGATTTTATGGAGAAATATTTCCCCAATAAACATAGCTATGCAAAACTTGACAAAGTTTTGTATCTCTCTCATTTGAAAAAGAATACCACAAGAAAGACAAATTATGTTACTGCAGCAAATGCAGTACATACTGGTATCTGTCAGCTTTCTACCCAACCTGCATTTTGTACAGAAAGGATTCCACAATTACTGAGTTCAGACCCTACTTCTCCAGCCTACAGTACAAGCTAACTGCTAGACAAGCAACCTTTGTTTATATGCATTAGTATTCCAAGAGTTACTTTTCGGTATTATTTACTAAGAGAGGTAACTGTGTAAGAAAGCTTACAAACTCCAGAACTGACTTGTACCCTAGCACCGGTACCCTATTACTTCAGTTGCTATTTCTAGACTTTTTGTGGAGTTTCTAGCCACAGATACAGCACTAAACACCAAGAATGGAAATGCTGTAATCACTCCACTAGGGCTGAATGACATCTTAAACCTGATTCTGGACCCCCGAAGCCCTGGCATTTAAGGGCATCTGATATACACAGCAGAAAAAATTCCCAGGAAAGAAGGAATACTTCATCAACAATCTTCATCCTTTAAAAATACTGCTGAGAAGGAGGCTCTATGATAAAGTACAAAGTCAATCACAATAAAAGAGATTATTACTCCCCTCTAATTCTACTGAAAAAGTTCACACAGCAAACAAATATCAGATAGTTGTTTTAACAGGCAATGACTTTCCCCATGTCTTCCTAGATGTTTTTCTGCACTGATTTTGCTTTAAATAATTCAGAAATGTTTCTCCGTATAACTGAGTAACTTTGGAGATAGCTAGTCATGCCCACAGATGAAAAGCATGACATAGTTTAAAACCCGAAGTCTAATATTTACCCTTCTGTTTGACCTACTGTGAATCAAAAATTAATGCTGTCCTTTTTTAGTCATAGGTTTACTAAATACAAAAGACATCTATATTGAGTCCTTTGAAGCATAACTTACATTTACCTGCAAAATTTAACTATAAACAGTTACCTTTTTAAAATCACTGTCCCAATACCAGACTGACTCTTGCTGAAGAATGAACGTTGTTTTGCCAACCTCAGAAAATCATCCACAAGTTGCTGTTTCTGACCATTTGGGTTTGGCAAGTGAAAGATCTTTGCCAATGTTTTTAGCTCAGGGGCTGAAAGCAAATCCAACCCTTCACACAGGTCTTCCAGTTCAGATTCTAAAAATAAAATGATCCGCATATATCCATTATGTGCTATACATCTACACTGCAGCAACAGCTCAAAGTATAGTACATTCATATAATCTAGTACCAATATAATGACTTAGATTCTTCAAACATGTATTATCAATGCTAGCTGGTTCAGATTGAAATTCATTCTCTGCACAGGTCGTTTGAAGGAATGAGATAGTCATAAAAAAAAAATCTCTTTGCAACTTCACAACAAAATAAAGAAATTCTGCTGAACTACAAAAAAATGCTGTTCAGAAAAACTTGTCTTCCTGATGATTAAAACTTTGCCCAATGCAAATAAAAAGTGCTGCCAGGGAGCAGCAGGAGCAGAGCTGCTCAAGAAGGGGGAGTGAGCCAGGAGTCAGCAGTGACCACAGCACTAGCAGTGTCCTCACCAACCCCGGTGCATTCCTGCCATAAACAAACAGACTGGGCAGAGCAAAAGTCCTGATCACCAATTCCACTGGCAGCCCCAGAAAAGGCATGATGTTGAATCAAGTCCAGGGTTGATCTAAGAGACGAGCCGGACGTAAGACAAGACTCAAAACTACAATTTCTGTATGAGATCCATCCACAGTACCTGGCAACAGACAAGACTGGCAACAAACACCTGCAGCACCGGTTGGAGGGATGGACAAGGCCAGGGACAGGGTGCCTGCAAGACAGCCCAGGGCAGTACTGTGGGATATTAAAAGTCGAGTTCCTGGACCAATGTGCAGAGGCTGTGCAGGCCACGGTCTGAGATGAGGCTGGCAAGGGCAAGTAAGGCTTATTGTTGCACCTACAGCCCTGACATTTGCTTATTTCTCCTACCTAATTTGCACTAACTGCTTTAATTATTAATGTAACACAGCAACACAACTCATCTACCTGAAACCTTTATTTTGCTCCCCTAATTCTCTTCTCAAGGCACAAACAAGCATGTAGTACATTAACATGACACAACTGCAAATTTAATTTATAATACTTTTAACATTTATTAATGCTGTCCATACCTGTTTGCAGAAATCTGGCTTCAGCCAGTTCTTCAATTATTGGTAACAAATCCATACTTATCTCTCCATACTCTATTTTGTTCACCCTTAACCAGTTCAGCTTCCGTTGAAAAAGTCTCACATATAATTTCTGCCCACCAACTGCAAATTTTATTTAAAGCAGGGAAGGATAAAAAGAAAATTAAATTCTAAAATGTAGTACTATGCATAATCATTACCATACCCAGAAAAAGTACTTTGATGCAGACATTTTCTAAAACACGTTTTAAACCCGTCCACGTTCTATAAGCAGACTTGGTAAAATACTAGAACTTACCTTTCCAAGGAATTATTGCTCATTAGAATCCTTAAGTTTTGTAGGTTGCAAGTTATCACAATGTATTTTGTAGGTAATGAACATTGCTAAAATGCATTTTGACCGTACTTACTCTTTAAGAAATAATTTGTTTTTGAGGAAGACAACATTTTTCCAACTCTGCATACTTTGATGTTCAATAGGTCTTTTTCTGCTGTCTTTAACACCCATTCAATAACCAACTATTTGTTGGGGAACAAAAGAAGCTGTAGTCTGAAAGAATGATTTCATAATCACAGAGTACCTCTCTGTGTAGTAGCCTTCAGATTCTTACTTTTCCAAAGATAAGCTTAATGTCACTAGTATATCTACTGAAAACAAGGGAAAAAACCTCCTATTGATTGGTTTGATTTTTATCAGGGAGGTGCTCTCTTAAAGTACCTTTTTAAAATACTTGAAATATACTAACAATGCTGAAATTCAACAAAATAGCTTATTAAATCTTGGTTGAAAATAGTCTACCTATTGCTACTGCACTCAGCACCTTTTTGAATACTTAATTCAACCCTCATTAACATCTAATTTTTTTATCCCAGTCTGCTACTGTTTAAATGAAATAGATCATTAATAAAAACAGACACTGAAATACTACCAGTCCTAGATATATTTAAGAAATGGCAGTTAACTTTTACGCACTTATTTAATGATTCTCCTGTCCTTAAAAAGACTTTTTCAGCCCTTTTTAATCGAAAGTTTCCAGGATCATCTCACTGAGACAACCACATTCAGACACATAAGCTTGTCCTTTACTCTGTGGGGTTATAATTTCTTTGAAGCCTGTCTCCAGTTTTCACAATCATGGAAAAAAGAAAAAGGTTGAGTAACACATGGACATCCTTTCTGCAGACCATGGACATGGACTAAACTAGGGCTGCAATCCAGTAAAGGCACGTGAGTACTGCTTTCTCTCTGAAGGATGTGAATGACAAATAGAATAATAGAAAGGTACTGTGCAAGTAATTAATTGCTTCTTAAGCATCCTGTTCTGTAGTACATTACCTTTGAAGGTTAAGGGGTTTTTTTCTTTTGTAGTTCTTAAGAAAATTTCAGGTATATCACTGAAATTAAAAAACTGCTCAAAGTTGAAATATTATCAGCAAAAAGATGCAGATCTTAGAAAAGTTCACCCTCTGATTCACTAAAACGCAACAGAAAAAAAATTACATTGGTTTTTCTTGTTCAGTTTCTGTACCCCAGTTCCACTGATGACTATGAATTAATGATTCTCAGATATGATACTTTCTGCTGTATAAAAGTTGGAAGGAGGATTTCACAAAGTGTATTAAGTCATGTCACTGGTACTGTATGCTTACATTTAAATCCTTACAACTGTAACATGCAGTGAAATTAACATGGAGAATACAAAAAATATTTTTTTAATATTACACTTAAGTTCAGACTTTTTATGGATATATCTCTGCTTTTCCCTACTTTATTTTCTGTTTCCAGTACTTAAACAATCGGAAGTGCTCTACACCCAACATAAAGGCCATCCACTTTTAGGAAAACTGAGCAGGAAATAAGTAAGGAAGGAAAGAGCGTTTCAAATTTAAACCTTTTAAACATATCATTTCTTTCATACTAAGCATTAGAGATAATTCACTGAAGAATGGTAGACATTCTAGCAGAAATACTGGAGAATACCTATATTCAAGCAACTTTATAGTATTAAGCAGGTGTGTGGCTTTTTTGTGTTGTAACTGAAAGATGATGCTTGCTTTCTAATGTGGAACAGATAACCCATCTACACGAACTTTTAAAGTATTCCGTCTAAGAAGGTAGAGACATCCGTCCGTGACTTGTCCAGAATTCATTACCTATTGACTTAATGCTATCCTGTCACTTCTCACAGCTGAATCATTCTGTTTTTCTATCCTGCAAAGAGAGATTGTTTCATTTGTGACTCTAGCAGTCAGTGCAGACATGGGTTTATCAGCACCACATTGCGATAATTCTTCCTCTATTCTGAACTCCTAGGAGAGGGCAATACTGAAATCAAACAACTGAAAGAGAAACAAGCACTTCCTCTATTTAACAGAGCAAGTCACTATTACTGACCAGTGTTGTACTCATTCAGAGAAGGGAGTGTGGAAATGAGGAAGCTGTATCCTGAACGTCTCGTTTAGTATTTATCAAAGTAGGCAAAGTCTGCATCTACTAATGACCTAACTGTAAATTTATTCCTTTGGATGTAAGGGATATGCATCTATTGCTTGCCTCAGAGAGCCAGTAGCAAGAGGTTTGTGTCTTATATTTCATTCTTTCTTGATATATTTCCATTTTAACTACTATAACATAAACAAGGCATTATCAAGCTCCAAGATCTCACTGTATACACATTTAGCTGGAGAAAGTTAACTATCGTAATATTCTTACAGCCTTGAGTACATCAAAGGCTCTGCAACCCCATCCCAGCTCCCACAGGTTTTCCTGCTTATGTTCAAGGTCAACTCTAAAACAGTGCAGCTGTGTAAGCTTTACTCGGGCTGCTGAGAAGAGCTGTGGGAGGCTTTGTCAGCCCCCCCCCCCTCCCCATCGCTCAGGAGCTGTAGTTCAGCTCAGGCTGCAGGCCTGCACTCTTGTCTAAATTCTGCTGTGCATGCCCATGCCCAGCCAGTCACCTTGCTGCCTTGGCTTCCCCTTGCACCTGCCTCCTCACTACAGACTTGCCGCCCCCAGAGCAAGGCTGACCACCGTACTGGCACTGGATCAACTCTGCTCTTCTTCTCTCGGCAATGTGGGCTTGTGCCCCTCGCAGGGAAGGAGAGGATGTGGCCCCTGCCTGCCCTGCTGTCCCCTTTGGCTCCTGGATCATCATCTTCCCATGCAGAGTAGTCTGCTCTTGCTGCTCCCTGACAAGCACAATCTTATGTTATGACCTCATCTTACTTACAATATTCTCATAACTTATGCTAGTAGTATTCTTTAATTTTTTAAATGTTTGGTGTTGCTGCATAACTGTAATTATTACAAGATAATCTGTAAGAGTTTAACTGTGACCAGGTAACCACTGCAGAAATACCTGTGTAAGCTTAGAGCCCTCCTTCACCTTTTTATCAACTATCTCTTAAGGTGGTTTGAGTCAGCTCAGCTGACTTTTCCACTAGGGCAAATGAAGAATGTTCATATGGTTCTTTCCAGCTACTAAACTTTGAAAGATTTTAAATAAAAAAAAATATTTCTGAGATTGTTCCACCACAGTTGAAATACTTCCTAGAGAAACTGATATGCATCAACTCAGTTTTTTTAAGGAGCTGAGATTGTGAACTACTTAACGGGATTATATTTCATTTTAAAAAAGCTCAAACCAACACTTCTCCATTTTTGTCACTCAGTATCCCATACTAAAAACCTTGTGTTATCATATACACTAACTTAACTTCATTCTATTATTCTCCACATCCATACCAGTTATTAGAAAAACACTTACTCAAAGCCTCCTGTTTGCTTTGGAAAAATTTCACATAATTGCTAACCACAAGTCATGACTTTGATGTTCTCTTTTGTAATGTCCTATCATGTCAATCCACAACAACACTGGGAACTTTACAGAAACAAACATTACGGGACTTAGTGCTCTAAGCAGCTAGAACAGTTTTCTTCCATCTTGAGATGAGGAAACAGTCTAAAGACTGTTGTACACTAATGCATAAAAAAATTAATATAACCTACAGAGAGGAAAAGGACCAAAATACACAACAGTTTCACACAAAGAAATACTACTCTTTAATGTGACAAAATTTACAGCCTGTTAGTTAAGCTAAACTAAATGAACACAATAGATTAATAAGTGTAGCCTGTTTCTGTTTTTTTACATATATATTTTTACCAGTAGGTATGTATGCAACTGTCAGTTTTGTGTGTTCAGCTCAGATGCATGAACTGAGCTCATATGAGCATATATCTAAAAATACTTTGTCGAGCATCTGTATAATACCATAGTAGTTTAAAACAATATGAATGGTTCTGCCTGCAATACTCTGAGACACAAATGTTGTTGTGGAAATTGTTATAAGCTTATTTCCATTTTGATGCTCCAGGTTTGCAGCTCAAGTGCTGGTAAAACCACTTTTAATTACTGTTTAAAACAAGTTATAAACATAATCAAAATTTGGAGTGTTAGTTTTAACTTGCATCACTTCTGCTATGCTTTTACTGTAAAACTTATATGAGTATAGGATTCAGACAATACGTCTGCTTTGAATCTTGCCTAAATATGGAGGATTTATATCCTCAACATTCTGGGTCCTACTGAAATCAATGAGAATTAAAAGTACTAAGCAACCTACAAGAAAATTACTGTTAATTAGCATTCTAAACTCTAGCTAATAATCATAGGTATAACCATGGATTCACACCAAGCAGGAAAGTCATCTGTAAATACATTGAACAAAAGCTCACAAATGCCACTTCAGAAGTATTTTTTTCAAGGTCTAAGTATCCAGCACAGGCTTCTTCATAATCCCATCTTCTACAATTCCCATACATGTTAATCAAAACCTTGGTGTTAACTGTTACTCTTTTTCTGTGCTACGAGTTTCCTTCCTTGGAAACATGTTTAAATGCAGCAGCAAGTAGACTTAAGATTCTAAAAAATAGTATTAAAATAATAAAAAAAGTATTAAAAAAAAAATAAATATACATAATCATGCTCTCCTTATTTCTTACAAGTCTCCACTATTATCATTACCTCCCACTGAAGCAACTTCTGGAAAGTTTACCTACAAGACACCACTGAGGGATATATCTCCTGAGAAAAAGTACCTTCTTCCCTTCAGAAATTTATCAAATTACCCATTGGTATAGCATTCTTCACATAAAACTATATAACATTCTCTCCACAATAGATAACATGAAAATATACTATATTAAAAAAAAAAAAAAAAAAAGATACCTGATAATTTCCAGAACTTCATTATAATGTTCATATCTTGCTCATCAAAGAGTCTGGCATCATCTTCGTTCTCCAACACTGCTCGTAGCACCACTAAAAAATTCTGGAGGTAATATGGGTGACCAGGAGAGCTCGGCACAGAGCAAACCTCATTTATTTTGTCTAAAACGTCCCCAGCAGAATTCTGATATTCTACTTTATCCACAGTTTCTGACAAAGCATGATCCATCTCATCCTTAAAGTCTTCATGACCTTCCACAGGAAGTACATCACCCTTGCCTAAGCAATCTTGTGTACCGCAGTTCACCTCTCTCTTGGAAGAAGGAATTACTTCAGTGTGAGGCTGAGTCTTGACTTCCAAACTACTGGTCAGCTCTGCTGAAGTGTAAATGGCTAGATGTGTTTCAAACTTATCAGGACTAAGCATCACACCTTCAGACCTTTCTGGTTTCGTGCTCCCTGTACCAACTGGTAACGATTTGCCATTAATGTTATCAGCTGGTAATGATACCTGAACAATATCCACAAGGTCTTCTCCACTGCATTTGTGTATTTCTTCCTGAAATTCAGGTTCCTTCTTCCAAAAATTTTGTTCCTGGCACTCACTCTCAGAAACCTGATTTTCTTTCTGAGAACAATGCCCAGCATAAATCTCATCATCATCCTCCTGTGCTGCAGCACTTCTGCACACATTGTGCACAGCTGGAGGCAAAGTGTTGATCTCTTTATACACAATCTGTTTTCCTCCCTGGGTATTACATCTTCTAGACAGCTTAGATGACAAGCTTCCCAAAGAGATGATTTTAACTGTTTGAGCCTGTGGTGTACTGTTAACACTACAGACTGAAGTATTATTGCTAAAATAAGGACTAATCTGTTGTGCTGCACTCTCTTCTGTTTTCAGTAAATTGCTTTTGGAAGGACTGAGGTTTTTTGAAAAATATGAGCTGGAATTATTGTTGACATTTGCAGCTGGGGGACCCCCCTTCCTAAAAGAGTTGAGTGTTGAATTAATTGCACCAATCTCACCATGTTTTCTCTGACATGTTTCATCCATGTGCTCGTTTATTCCATACCTTGGCAAAATTTGCCCACACATGGGACAAGTAATTTTGGCAGGTGGAACATTGTTAAAAAAGGAAGTAATAGAGGAGGATGCTGAAGGTGTTCCTTTACCTTCCACCTTTTTTGTTGTTCCTTTTTTCTTCTTATTTTTATTGAGTGACAAACTTATTCGGGACCTTTTAATTTCTGAAGACCTAGCTTCTGCCATTACACAACTTCAAAGCATTTACATGGCACAGGCTACTTCAGTCGGGCCATATTTCCTTAATTCTGTAATACCTAGAAGAAAAAACAAAACAAAACAAAACAAAACAAACTTTCATTGGCTTTGCATTTTGCATCTGTCATCCTCTGTCGTGCCTTCAAGAAAACAAACAATAAAAAATGAATGAAAGATCTTCTAAGGTATCAAATGCAACCAAGATCAACAGTGTAGAAATAAAAAAAAATAAACCCCTAGAATTGGAAAAGTCAAGTAATCCTTAACTGCTACAACTGCCCCTTTACCTTCTCACCAGGCAGGCAAGCAAGCACACCCTGATTGCCGTGCTGAGCAGCACAGCTGGCTTTAAGGGATCGGTTTAAAAGATGGAACCACTGCTATACACTTTGACTATGTAAATGCCACGTTTCCTGGCTGATGGAACTGAAAACTTGAGACAGAATTCAATATATGGATACAGTTAAGTCCTCTAATTTCTGTCATTATATTGCTATTTACAGGCATTCTGCTTTTTGGTGCCATCGACCCCCTCCCTCGCATGCGCACCCAGCACTGCCGCGGGAGCGGCGGCGCCGGCCGGGCGGGCTCCCCGGGGCCTGTTCCCAGCAGGCCGCGCCGCTCGAGAAGCTGCAAGGGGCTCCGCGCTCTCTCGCTGCGTCCCCCGCTCCCCGAACCCGTTTCTGCTACTGCCGAGCCAGCGAGGGGTGCCCGCCCCGGGCCGCCGCCGCCGCTCCCCACGCACCGGCACCGCAGCCCAGCCCGCTCCGCCGCGCCCCGCCCCGCGGCACGCAGGGCCAGGCCAAAGCAATGCAGCGCCGACGGCGGCTCGCAGGCCTGGGCAGCAGAGCACCGAGCCCGGGGGGCCTCCCCCAGACCTGTTTATTTCAAACATCTTGCACTCTTAAAGGAAATTTTAAATTTAAAGGGTGAAACACAGTTGTGATCTTTCTTTAGAAAGTGAAAGCAGAGGGACACTAGCTGGAATTTTCTTTTTTTTTTTTGTTCAGCCAAGAAAAGAGCAAAGAAGTAAAATATTTCCACCTTGAGAAATACGGTTTAAGTTAAAAGAGACCAGGTGCTTACGTGGAGTTACTGCAGGCTTAAAAAGCTTCTGTGTCCTCCCTGTTTGATAATCCTGATTTTGAAAAATAACTTCCAATTTATACTGACAGAATACATCTTAAGTTCTTCAATAAACACAGTTATGCCTGTAATAACAGAGAGCTATTACAGCAGCAGATACAAAAGCTATGTAAAGACGCTGTACAGTCAAAGCACTAATGTCAAGGATTCTACATTCTTCTGCCCCTGGCAAGAACCTTTCTTTTTGCAATTGAAAAAAAAAAAAAAAAAAAAAGAGAAACAAACAAATAAAATCAGAGTTCTATGGTAAGAAAAAAAAAAGAAGTAAAACCTAAAGGAAAGAGTCTCTTTACATGACTTTAAGAAGTCACGGAACATTTTAAAGAACAACACAAAATAAAACCTACTCAAATTCAGCATTCATGTAAAAACAATTTAATATATACAAGATACAATTTCTAGAAAAAGGCAAATTACAATTTCAGTTTGTGAACAGAGAGGGCTTTCTGCTGCTTCTTTTTCTTCTTTATTTTGTTTGCATCTTTGATTTGCAGTTTTACTTGATCTTGCAGTTGAGAAAAGAAGGCCTGGGATGATTTCAAGACCTTGTCTTTACCTTCATCCTGTCAGTGGACAAGATATTTGTTATAACCAAGAAATGTACAAACAGTACCATTATACTACTGACAATACAACGGTATGACTTAAAAATCTGATAATTAGCTTTCAAAGGATATTTTTCACTGCATTCTTATACCACTCCTGCTATCTAAAGAAATATAGAGTACATTCCCTTTCTAATTAGCAGTTACTATAATAGGTAAGAACGGGCATCGAGAATAGATCTTTATATGTAGTTGCAGCTCATGATGTGTCTTTACTTTGCCTTCTGCTCTCCTTTTGAAAATGTAAGGACAAACATTTTAGAAGTAATTATGTTATTTTTCCTATTAGTTTCTAGCATCTCAAAATTTCAGAGATTTTAAAAAATTAATTTACAAGGCATCACAGAGAGTACACAGGTTTGATTTTTGTTTTGCATGGGGTAAAGTCGAAAAACTGGTGAGATTAGAGAGAAGGCTCCACAGTAAGAAGTAGAAAGTTAAATTGGAACATTCTATTTTGAAATAGCTTAAGTTACTCAAAGCTTAGGAAGAACTAAACAGATATCTCATCCTCAGTTATGCATGCAAGTAGTCCCACTTAATCAAGTGGAGAGGCTGAAACACAGGAAATAAGAACCCAGGTCTTAGTATTTGCAAGAACACTGCCTTGTGAACTTTGAAATAAATAAAAAAGTAGTACCTAATGCAAACAATAATTTCTGCTTTGTGTATATACTTTTATAAAGTAATTGTATCCTACAGTTTTTCAGATTTTTCCGTATCTAAAGATTAAGTTGCTTACAAATCCAAATATATTTCATACTCTGAATAAGCTTCTAAAGGTTGCAACAACCATTTAGGTAGGATTTATTCACAAATAAAGCAGTAACAGCTACATAAATATGGTTGTACTCTGCAGTGACCCCCTGAACTGTATTTTTTCAGGCCTTTATATTGACATCATGCTGCCAGAATAATCAGCAAAATCAGGACTAAAAAGGCATTCAACGCTACTTTGCAGAAGTCAATTACAAGTATGGATTAGAATAGTTCTTCCAAAACTGTAGTTCAAAAGAATACAGGGGAAAGATGGGGAGGAGGAGGGAAGAGAAGGAGGAAAAGGGGGTAAAAAAGTAAGAATAAGTAGTATGCATCTACCCCCTACAGGTCTTCTTCCTACTGCTTTCTTTCCAGCAGCTACATTTACCTTTTATATTTGCTCGGGCATAAATAAGTTACCAAGGTTAGGGTGGCAAGCAGATACACTGCCTGTGTACAAGCATTTCTGAGGGGATGGAGAAAGATTAGGACATGCAGTTGTGCCATGAGGAATGGGAGGGAAACAAACACTGTACTTTGTAATTTTCTGTGATAAAGTCCCCTTTCACTCGCTAAATATTATCTATCCCTGGGATTTTAATATTCTTTAGCTGTGAAGCTCCAAGTTATACAGAAGTACTTAAAGGACAGCCTTACCTTGAGCAGAGATGCTTTGCCTTCTTTTGTAAGTCTTTTTAATTTTGCTGCAGCAGCTTTTTTGCTAAGCTTTGTGCCTTGTTCTGGTTTAAGCTTTTCAAGCAGCTTTTGACGTTTCTCCTTTTCTCTTTGCTTCATACGTTTACGAATCTTTTTCTTTCTTCGTTCTCGTTTTTTGTCTGTGGGAGTCTTTTCTGCATCTGTTTTTACATCACCAGCTTTGTTCTTTTCCTAAAGAGAACAACATCTCTAGATCCATAAGTGTGCAAGAGAAAAGACTCACTTTATGGTACTCAGATCTGTCTTAGTGTTTCCATTATTTTAAGGTCAGGGCAATGCCACATGAAAGCAAAGGCCGAGAACAGGCAGAAGTTGGGAAGTGAGATTTGTACAATTGGTGGAAGACATGCTAATTGCTCTTCCCTATCGTCATTTAGCTTTCCCCTTCCAAATACCTATGTATATATACCATGTATTTATGTTGGGAAAATAATTACCATCACATAATAGTCAAGAACAAAAATAAGGCATAGTATTATTGCCTAGTGTAGCCAAATTAACTCTTTCCCCTCCTTCCAGTTATCAAAAAAAAAAAAAAAAACAACATCCTACCCCCCCAAAAAAGCCCCAACCACCACCAACACTAAAATGCTAGGCAGGAAAGTCCATGAGGTAAGGAACCCAGCGTGTGAGGGGGCAGAATTCTCCCGCTGATCCGGCATCCAGTACACCCTAATAGCAACAGTACAGATTTCCTCCAGATCCTTATGTAGTTTTTATTTATATTTACCTTAATCTCCTCTGGTGCTAAGAGAGCGGCATCACTAACAGCAACAGGTGCTACTTCTTCCATACTTATAGCTGGAAGGTTCGAAACTATTTTGACTTCTGGCACAGGCTAGAAACAAGGGAACATATTCAGGACTCAGCACACAATCTCACAGCAGCTTACAGCTAACTAGAAATACTAACTATTAGCGTTTGTTTAGAGGGAATTATAGTGCATTTAATATGAAGTTAAAATGAACTCAGTAACACTCAATGCTTACTTTACTTTCCATTCCCCAAATATATGTTAAAGTATCCAGTTTCAGAGGGGGGGGGCATGGGGAAACCCCAGCTTTACGAAACCCATGTACTCACTGGTTTGGGTGTGAAGTGGAAGTTACACAGTGCATCCAGCTTCAGGAAGAGTGAATCCATCATTTCCTGAATTTCTTTGTGTTCAGGATTTTCCTCCTCTTCAGTCTTTTGCTGCATTATTAACACAACCTTACTGCGCCACCACTCATGAAGCTATTTTACTTTAGCAAGACTGATAACAACACAATATACAATTCAGAGCCATTTCACTGGTTAACATTCAAAGAGAGACTGAAGTACTTCCACAAAGCTGAAAGCAGAGTTAGCAGTGTACAAAAGAACATATACTATTATGGGGTATGAACTTCAAACCAAAAGGAAAGGCATTGCTTACGTTACCTGGTGAAGTTTTATGTATTCTTGCTCATAGATCTCAGCGAGACTTAGTTTACTCTTTTCATGATCCAAGGTGATACGTTTCTTGTATTCAAAAGCCTCCTCTTTAGGTTTTTCTTTTGGTACTACATCATCCCATGCCTGAAAAAAATCATACATTAACAACCAAATACAACTACAGTCAAATATCAGGTGCTACAGCTTATTTAGAACATTTTTCATATTACTTATCTGACACATTAACTTAGTTTATGCATGTGGCTTCCCAGGAAGTCATTAAGTTTCACACCTTCATTTGGAAAAAAAAATAAAAAGTAACAGAAGACTTGTAGCTCTAGCTTGTGTGCTTATTTTTAGTGGATTGGGACAAAAATTGTGTAACAAATAACAAATGTGTGATTTTTTTAAGTAGTTAAATAGTCTCCCCCATGTGTACCTTTTTTTTTTTTTATTCGACTAACACTAAGCTTCAATGAGCTGTGGGATACAAATCTTTTATCAGTAGTTTTTAAGAAAAATGAAGAAAACAACTGAGTTTCAGTTAGTATTCAGAATGCTCAGAGCTACAGTTACGGTAACAGACAAAACTTACTGGCATTATATTCCAAATAAACTCTTCCTTATGGTTTTATCTGCAAACATTCTTTTTTTTTTTTTTAGCACATCAAAACCTAGCATGTAACAGGCATGTAAAAATAGAGCTCCTTAGAAATCTAAAGGCACATTCATCAAGGCAAAAGAATAAAACAACCAGCTGCAGAAATTAAGATAACTCTACATGTAACATTTTATGAGCTTCAAACTCATCCTTGGAACATACCCTGTGAATCAAGTCTATGAACAAAACCAGGGACAAACAAAGAAGATAATACTAACCTCATCCAATATTCTCTGTTTAATGATATCTTCAAGCTGAAAAGTAATTTCTTCTGTGATCACAGGTGCTGAGAGGAGAAAGAGAAGAATGATAAGATAAACGTTTCTCCAGCAATAAATTTTGCTCTATGAAGAACAAACAACAGGAAAAAGAAAATAAGGCCTTCACAAAAATGTAGCAATTGAAGGTGAGGTATGTAAATAATGTTTTCCTCTATCTTGAAGAGACTGATCATGCTATATAAGGCTTGTAAATTACTTAATCGGCCACTGAATTAATCATCTTTTGGTTAAATTAAAAATTAACCAAAGAGATTATAGTTTCCTCCATGAAAATGCATTATCTCAAAAACACAGTAAGAAGTTCAACTTTGTGTTTTGTTACCCTGCTCTTGAGTCACTGGTGTTTTCAGCAAGTTCAAAGGGAAGAAAACCCAACATGGTATGCAACACACTTTCAGGAAAGCCCTCGCTCACTGCTTACCCATTCGGACTGCATGGTCAAAAAGTACTGTTTCCTCCAAAAGGCTGTTTTCAGGTCGTTTTTGTCCTGTCACTTCTCCTTTAAGCTGCCAAGGTTTCTCCTCTAACAACTGTTCTTCCAAACTTTTTATTTTTTTGCTCATCTGAAAAACACAATTTCCTAAGAAGTTTAAAACATAGAGCTCACAAGTAAACTCAAAGCAATAAATTAATAGTTATTTCAGGTACTTCTAACTCCTTCTCACATAAAGAGGAGGGAATGTATGATTGTATATATACTTGATGTAGAGAAGTCACTTTTTTTCCCCCCTTAATTTGTAAATAGACTCTTCATATTTGCCAGACTGAACAAATTACACAATCATAAATAATAAATTGGTCATTGTTTTAAAGTATTAGCAAAATAAATTACCTTTTCCTGTCTCTTCTCAAAAGAAGACTTTATTTCACTGGGATCAACGCCCTTCTCTAATTGCATATCAATAACATCTTCTGTTTCGCTGTCATCTGGCAAACTAAAAGTAACTTTTTTAGAGGCTCCTTTACTTCTTATATTCTCCATCATCATTTCATTCATATCCTCAACCCTGTAATATTAAAATTTAATTTAAAGGTTAAAAAGCCTCTCTAATTTTTTACATGAAGGAATTTCAGTCATTAGATGTTTACCTGTTACAACTAATCCACAGCTAAGAAATACAATAGGCTTTCATTAAAAGCTAAAGACGGGGGACACTAGGTAAAGTTCTATATATTAAAAATGATATTTAAAACCCAATGTTACAGCTATTAAATGATTTATTCAAATAAATACCAAGAGACAATACTCAAAAGATAAGTAAACAATCTGCTTTTCAAATAAGGTGACAATGCAAACCATGAACCTACAACAGATAACACAGAATAGCAAACCAGGATCAAAGTCAGCCTAGAATTCACACTTTATTTTCTACTTCACTTTGGTGTAAAATTACAAGGACATTTTAACTGCAAGTAACACATGTACTTACTCAGACATGCTTTCTTCATTCTGCTCTTCAGCAGCACTGTCTGCTTCCTCTTCCTGATCATCTTCAACATCATTAGCTATTAAATCATCGTCATCAACTGGATCAAAGAAATCTTTGTATGTCAAGTCTCTAGAACTTTTAGTTAGCTAAGGGGAGAGGGAAAACAAAACAAAACACAAAAACTGTTGAGACTGACAGAAATGTAAGGGTATCTTGTTTTTTAAAGTCTTTAGCACTTGGGGAATAACACTACTTGTGTAAGAGTAACTCTGTTTAGTGAAGCATTAACCAGCATTAGGGCAGCTTAGTAAAACTAATCGCTTTTACAGGTATTTAAAATATTCTATCATTTAAATTAATTTCCAATTTCAACATATACAGCAGTCAAAGAATAGATTTTGCCAATTACGTGCTGGAATGTGTACATGTTCCCCTATGCCCTGGGCATAGCTTTTAGTGAGAATCTCTGGTAATATTAAATAATAAAAGATTTATTTTAGAAAGTACTCACAACTTAAGTTAAATCAGAGTTACAAAGACATGCCCCTAAAAAATGAAGGTGCCAAAAGCCCTTTGCTCTGCATCAGTCACCTTAGTGATCTCTAATGGCCAAATGTCAACGTTGAGTGACTCATCTTTACCATTTGCTGGGTCACCAATTCTTAAAGTTCACCTATTTCTTCTGACACTATCTCTTCCTCTATTCATGCAAAAACCTAAAACCAGCTAAAGAGAGACTGGAATAACATGACGGTATGTTTTCCTACACTAGTCCATTTTTTTTACCAGATATTCATGTCAAATATATTTTTAAAGCTTCAGAAGTAATCATTAGTCATCTAATCAAATTTAACTTGGTAGTTTCTATCAGAGTTCCAACAATTTATAGTCACCCTGATGGATAGCAGATCTTGATTTAATGGAACAATCAGAAAATTAATTTACTGATATTCTTACTTTGACTTTAGCTTCTTCAGACTCTTCTTCCTCATCTGAAATGATGTCTTCGAAATAATCAATATCTTCATCCTCCTCCCTGTTTTCCTTCTCTGCATGTTCTAAAAAAGCTTCCATCTCAGCCAGCTTGAAAAACTTGTCATCCACTATAGATTTTCTTGCCATTTTTTTCAATGTGTTTCCCTTGGCTGTTTTAGTTTGTTGCTCCAGTGCTCCAATATCAAAGTCAATATCAGAATCTTCATCACTGTATTTCTGCATTATGCTTTCTCTGAATTTACTTTGCTTTTCTTTAGCTTTAGTTTTACCTTTTGTATAAACATTCTTCTGTTCAGTTTCTGCTTCCATTCTGTCATCTTCCAATTCCTGGTCGCTGGTGTCTGCATAAGAGCCATCCTCTTCCAGGTCTGAGAGAAGGCAAAGATCTTCATCCTTGGCATCCCTTGCAATGGCTTTCTTGAACAAATCGAGTACTGCAATGTTCTGGAGCTCTAGTTGTTGCCAAATCTGTTCTTCATCAAAATTTTCTATCACCAGCTCTTTTAGAGGACCCCCACAAACTACATTACTGCCCAGAGCTTTATTCAAGTCATAGAGAGTCTTTGTTAATGTTCTGAAGTCAGCAGCCAGTCCATCTTGCACACTAAGAGTAGAAAAAAAAATGAAGAACTTTAAAAAGCACAACAGTTAATTTAATTTATTTTCTACTTTTCAGAATTTACTAGCTTTCATTAATTTTATACCTTCCATTAAGTTAATCACATGGTCACACTGCAGCTCTTTATATCTGCTTAGGTATTTTGGTGAACACGAAAAGAATAGCACATATATAATAACTATACAGAATAGCATCTTTCAACAACTACTGTTGTGGCTTAACTTTCTACATCTCTCTTGGAGGACTCCTACTAAACTTTTCTAGAAATAGACATTATAATTATGAAGTCTTTCAGCTTCATTACACTTTGTGTATGAAATCGCAGCTGGACAGAACACTCCACCCTCCTATACCTGCATCTTACTATACCTTGATATTTAAATACTCCAGATGCTTTGGGGAAGTAAACAGGATAGCACTAAACACTTCAAACATCCAAGGCACAGACCCTTGGTTTTAAAAAGGTAATTGCCTTCCTCCACTGCCTTACTCCTTAGCTTTTATATTGGGGTAGTCTCCTCCAGTTTTCTGTCTAAAGCTACTAATGCTATAAGACAGCTGGTAGAAACAGAAACCTCCATTTCCCAATTCCCGAGCGCTGGAAAACGGAATAGGGCACCGCAGCAGCCGCGGCTGAAGTCCCCAGCCGGGCCCCGACGCTGTTAACAGCGTGCTTCAGGAGAGCTCTGCGGCCGCGGGGTCCCGCTCCCGAACCGCGGAGCGCTCCATGCGCGCGCGCGTACACACACACACACACACACACACACACGTTCCGGCTTTGGGGGCTCCCCGGGGCTCCCGCGGCCCCGCACTACCTGAGGAACCGCTCCGGGCGCGCCGCGGCGGCGCCCGCCACCCTGAGGCACGCCTCCAAGCCCCTGACAGCCGCCATCTTCCCGCCGGCCACCTGGCGTGGAGAACTCGGCACCGCCTCCCCGGAGACCCCGGATGAGCGGCCCGGGCGGCTCCCGCGGCCGGTGCCAAGGTTCCGCGTGCAGGAGTTCCGCCCCGCGGCCCTTCACACGCACAGCGCCAGGGGCCGCCCCAGCCGCCTCCCCGGCCAAAAGCACCCCGCTCTCAGTGGTTTTGTCATAGAACCGCCTCGTTTATTCGTGTCACACCTGCATCTTTAGGTTGGCCTGCTCGTGTTTGCCCTGAACCGCTAGCAGGCTATTGCAGAGTCATCCACTGATGGCTGCTGCTTCCTCCCCTTGGAGCAGTGTGGTATTGTTCTCAACAAAGCTGTTCATCAGCACTGAAAAACCTGCTCTAAATATAGTAAAGCTGCAGTCACCTTACTTTGCAGTTTTGTCTCTCTGACCTAGATACAAGGGCTATTTTGGAACTACACATTTCCAGCAGATACTGTGAGCAAAATGTCCAATGTTACCTGGCATCTCCGAGCTCCCAGCTAACTAGGCCTAATTCACACACCTACGCAATCAGCAAGCACAGCCCAGTGTTCTCCAACTGTTTTGTTACATCACACAGTTTCCTTAAAGTTTATTTTATAAAGTCAAATTGAGCACTACACCCACAGACCCTGGCGCAGAAGGTGCTGCTGCAGTGGGGGGAGATGAGCTGTTCCTCCTCCATGCTGCAGAATGCGTTAGCGGGGGGCTGCCCTCACCCTGCCTGCTGCTGCTCCGAGTCAGCCACCGCACCCGCAGCCAGAACAGTGACCAACCTCCTAACTTTGTTCTTGCTAATGCTTCTGCTGTTCCTCTGCTATATCCATGTTTTCTTCTTAGGGAAAAAAAAAAAAAATGGAAAACAAAGCCCTGCTATGCAACTTGTGTGTGTCCTCTTGTTGGCACTTTGCAACTGCAAAAAAAGCCTTATGTGGCACAGGGCCCAGGCAACAGAGGCACAAATACAACCTGTACCTGCACTTCTCTCCATATCATAAACGTATCTCACACTTTACAACCTGGGTTGGAAGCACAAAGTGTCATATATTGGGACTTTTAAATACCCATTTTGATCCGCACTCTTAATTATTCAGGTATTATCAGACTTGAAATGGCACGAGCTGTTTACATATTTAGGATGTATCATAGCAACCTGCAATGTCCTATGCCTCTGACACAGAAGGAATGCAGCACCAGGAGACAGCCTACTCGTTGTCCCGAGTCTCTTCTGCACAATGCTTCAGTCAGAACACGTTCTCTCTCTGCAGACGCCCCCTGCCACTGCTTCGCTCGCTCTTTCCCAAGCACAGGCGGTGCCCAGGCCCGCTCCCGCGAAGGCCCGCAGCAGGCCGTGGGGCCCGCCCCAGCGCGATGCAGCTCCCTCCGCCTGGGACAGGCACCGGGCGGCTCTGCCGCCCGCCCCGCGGTGTGGCACACCCGTCGCCGCTGTCGGTGCCTCGCACCAAGACGCGCCGGTGGCGCGGGTCCTACCAACTCAGGCCCGAACCCGGACCCCGACCTGGACCCGGGCCCAGTCCGTCACCGCGCCCAACGGCTGCCGGGTCTGTGGGCAGCGGCCGCTGCCACGGTGACGGCGGAGGGCGGCCGCTCCGCCGCGACGAGGCCCCGCCCACCCGCGGCCGGGCTGGCTGCGAGCGGCGGGGCGGCGAGATGGCGGCTGCGCTGGGCCGCGCGGCGGCCGGTAACGTGGGGGCCGGGCCGGGCCGGGCGGGGCGGGGCGGGGCGGGGCGGGCGGCGGGGCGGCCTCAGGCCTCGGTGCCCGCTCTGGCCGGGAGCCCCAGTCCCGCGGCGGCGGGCAGGCGGGCGGGGGGACAGGGCGGCATCGCGCCGCCGCTCCCCGCCCTGGGGTGCGGGAGCGGGCCCGAGGCTCTGCGTGAGAGCCCTCCAGGCCACAACTAAACAGGATTGCTTCTAGAAATAGCAACAAGGTGTTCAGATCCAGATGACAGAGACGTTAACAACTGACACTGTCTGCCTTAGAATAAACTTAGGCAGCAAACTTGCAAGGAGGAGCTTGTCTTTTTAAGGTGCAACTTGGAGGTCAAATGCAAAATCTTTCCTTGTTCATTATAATTATCTGGACTGTTCACTCTCTTAATAGTAAGCAAAGGCAGGTTAAACTCACTGAACCTAAACTGCACTATTTTACGTGGTAGCCGTAGACTGCAGGAGCAAAGTGAATGAGAGACTCGGTGCTGTCTGAGTCAGTGGTACTGGGAATGAAAACACATTGGTCTAATTGCACTTTGATGGAAGAAACCAGAGCTGCAGCAAAGTGAAACTCAGTTTATAGGAACTATGGAGCTCATCTGATTCCCAAAAGCCACATCCAGCCCAGCACAGAGCAGCATTATGGATGACCTGGCAAAGTTTCCAAGAGGCTAACGCCACCTTCAAATTGCTGGGATTTAAGAATGGCCAGACTATGCCCTTTCTCCATTTGGTTCAGAGAGCTGATACACAGCCTATGTATGCCAAACTCCCTACGGCAACAGCATCCTCTCCATCCTTGGGAGTTTTTCTCAACCTGATGTAGTTGACAATAGAGCAGTACCCAGTGACAAAGTGGTTCTTTCTGCAACTCAGTTGTATAACCCCTCCCCAATAGAGAACATGATTGAATTCTGTTGGATTTGATATAGCCGTGTAAGTCAATGAGCACTGCCCCACATAAAGAGCGACAAGCCTATGAATAAACATTTGAAGGCTGGGGATCTCATTTTATGGGGTACTTCAGACGTTACTTCATAATCTGCTCTTATAGAATGTAAGTCTCAATTGGTACAACTATCCATGTTTAAACTCTGATGTGCATAATACTAGTAATCAACCATTAATAGCATAAAAAACAAACATCAGTTAAAAAATATTCTTCAAATGAAGCTGAGGAATGTCACATACATTCTTCAGTATCACTGAGGCTAGGAAGCCAGCAATCATATATGAGAGCAGGGCCTTATCTAAAGGACAAAATATCTAGAAAAATTCTGATTTGATTCTCAGTGTTTGAAAAAGGAGGTCTTAAAAAAGCAGTAGGGGCAAATGCTGTATCTACCAGAAGCAGCTGCATGTGTGAATTTGATCAGCATATGCAAGTTATTCAAGCAGGACAGATACTTGGGTAGACAGTTTAGTCACTGTTCATTGGCTTCAAAAGAAGCAGAGAAAGTAATTTTTTTAACATTGGAGAAAGTTAATAATTACTTGAATAATTCTGTAAGTCAGTGGAGAAATGCTTTTGTAATTGAAAAATTTTGCCACAACAGTTAATAGGACTAGTTTTGTGATATATGCATAAATGTGTTTCTTTCCTGAAACATGTAAGTGATGGGGTTTCAATCTGAAGTTTGCTGAAAAGCCTTCTTTTTCACTGCAGGGTCATCTTTTGATTATTGGGGTAGAAGAAGATTAGAATTTTAGGTAACTGATCTATATAGTTACTAGTCTATATAATGCAAGAAAAACACAAATCCTTTTTGTTTAACCTCAGTAAATTCGTACTGGTAATTACAGGTTTAAAATGAAAGCTCTATATGCATATGACCAGAGCTAGGATAAATTCACAAGACTTCACAGGATAAAGTAAAAAGAAAACCCCAAACGTGCTGAAGAGTCCTCTGCCCCTACATACTCACTGAAAAAATAGAGAGTTCTACCACACAATCCATTAAGTGAGAGGAGGAAATGGAGAGATGCATAAATAATATTGTCATATGAGTGGGCATTTAAGTATCTTTGACTTTACAAGAATCACAGGAACATACTTCACTTTTTCAATCTATTATCTTTCCAGGAGACACCACAAAGATCAAACATTTCTTAGGCAGAACTCAACAGAAATAGCATTTTCTATTATTTTTGCTGTTGCTTCAGTAATAGCTGAGTAACAGTCTGTGTCTCCACTTACTGTCAATTTAATTTAAAATAGACAATATACAAATTAAAGTAACCATGTAGTCGTTACGCCCTGTGTGAAGTACAGCAAGAATTATAGATGGGAGATGTCAAAAAGAATGGGAAAAATCCTAGCCTTTCTCATTAGTAAAGATTTCTTGAAAAATCTACATTAGTCATATTTATTGAACTGTGGTCTGTTAATATTTGGAAGAAGGAATGAAAGAATAAAAGGCTCTGGGACACATAACAACTGATACAGTAAGTGGTCCTTATCTTTCAAAGGATTTTTCTCTTGGAGAATACTGACCTCTAAGTGGAAGAGTATCTCTTGCTTCAGCAAGAATTTAAATAGGTCTTAAGAAATTGTAGTAAGAAGCAGAGCTACTTAGATAGAATCTTAGGTGGACAGGAAAGACTGTATGGTGGGTATTTGGGGTTTAAAATTTTTTTTTAATATATTATTTACTCTGGTGTTCTGGTCAAACTCTAGTATAGTTAATTATCCATGCTTCTAATTATGCCAATTAGATACTGCATACTTCTTATTTTGTACATTATAAGCATTGCATAGTATTGCTTCCTCAGGCAGTTGCTTTGTTCACCCCTGATACAGCTGTATTTAGATGGCAAGTCTATCTACAAAATAGTTTCATCATATACATTTGAAAAACATGATTTTTTCTTCTGTGTATAAGTTGCTAGGGGATTTCTTTAACATGCAAAAAGTTGAAAAGTACTTGGAAATACTGAGTTGCTCTACTATGCTAGTATGATAGCCTAAAGGTAACAAGTGAAAAAGAATTGTCCAAAACTTCGGGCTGTGATGAAGGAGATGACAGGATGTACTGTGTGAAAGGCTGGCAAGAAATACTCCAGGGCAGTTACTTGCCGAACTGGACAGGTTTCTGGAAATACTTAATATAGGATGGTGATTTATTATTATCAGAAGATTCTGAATGGACTTACTTTTGTGATACAAAGTCTTTGGAAGTATCTACATTGCATGTTGTAATTTTAAGTCTCAAAACCACACAAATGCTGCTTCTTCCATCACAACACAATGCTCAGAAAGGCTTAGATTTAAGGACTGCATCAGTTGTTTTTGTGAAGAAAAAATAACTGATAGCTGTGAAGTCTGGAATTCCTGAGAAACGGTAGTTCTCAGTTTCATACAGTGAAGCTAGCTGATTAATTACAGCTACTACTGACCTTACAGCTAATACTAACCTTACAGAGTACAAAAAGTATGAAAAAATACAAGCCAGGATATGCTCTGTGTATTACAAAGCATCCAGACCCTTAGTGTATCCTTGGCACAATCTCTTAACAAAATAGCACATTTGTGAATTGAAAGCTAAGAATACCTCAAAAACTTCCAAAATGTGGAGATGCCTCTAGCTTGGCTTTAGGGCATTGGGAACTCTGACATGGCTTAAAGCAAACTGGCATGAAATTAAAATGCTGCTTTTATGAATATATCCTTTCATTTAATTCTAATTCTGGTGCTAGAAACAACTGATATGATCACAATTTCTCCTCCATTCCCAACCTGTCCAGATTCTAGTACTCTGACAGACTCATTTTAAATGTAATTCACTTCTAAGTATCCCCATTTTATATCTCTTTTGTGATTTTTTTAAAAAACAAGCAACCCTAGAACTATTTGTGAGCAACAGCAATTCAATGCAGATAGTGCAAAGTTTAGTACTGCTTTGTCAGAGCAGTCAGTGAAGAGTCCTGTAGGTATCGAAGCAGTTTTTCATGACACTCTGTTTCTCTATGACTTCTCCATTGTTCGTCTACATGTTAGCCCTTGCCTTTGTGTCATATGGTCATCCAGTATTTTTTTCATAATTACCTTTTCACTTATGATGAGCCAAATCATATTCTTTTTCTTCTGTAAACCACACTGGAGTCAGTGGCACTAGTTACATTAAAAAAAACTGTTACGATTTGACCCTTTAAAGATAATCTTCTAAATTATTATTGGTCAGTTGAACATGATACTGTTCACAGTACTTAGAACTGAAATAGTTCCAAGTGTCTTGAAAGAGATCAGTGAAACAATGTAGAAGACCTGTATGGCATGTGAAAAGTAAGAAGAGCAAATGACTTAATCATTGCAGAAAGAGAAAATAAGAAATCAAACTCCAGAGATTTTAGGATTCCTTAAGCCTCAGATGCAACATGACATTTCTTTCCTTGCTGGAGTTAGTTCTGACAGCTGAGAGCTCAAGTCTTTTATCTTTTGGATCTTGCAGTATCAGTTCTGTCAAAGGTTTTATTTGAGTTTTCTTGTTTGTTTGTTATAATTTCTAGATGTATAGGCATATCTCAATTTCTCTATTTTGTGAGAAGCTCTGAAAAATTCAGAAGCCACTTCTAAGTACATTATACAGTTGCCCATTACATTTGGCCATGTATTCCTCATTTTAACAGGCCTATGTATGGTTTTACAACAAATTTGTGGGGTTTGTTTGTTTGTTTGTTTGTTTTTAATACTTCTGATTAATTACATAGTCTCTGAAAAAAATTTTCATTGAGCTATTAGTACTGCAGAATAATTCTTTTATTGGTCTCAGTCTACCTTTAGTTTTGCACACTGGTGAGCTTATGACATAGGAATTATATAGGTTTCATTAAAAGGGGAAAGAGCAGATATTGATACTTTCTGAGAAGCATTGTATCGGTGCTATTCACTTTTTTTCAGGGCTTCTTACCAGATTGCAGACTTCAGCTCTCACAATACGAACTCTATCATCATCGAATTCCTTTTCTCAAAACATTCCAAGCTGTTTGTGGAAACTGGGCCGACTTAATCACGTAGCAATTGCAGTACCTGATTTGGAGAAAGCTCAGTCCCTGTATAAGGATGTGTTGGGAGCACAGGTGAGCGAGACTGTTGCTCTTCCCGAACATGGTGTCTACACCGTTTTTGTGGAACTGGGAAATACCAAACTGGAACTTCTACATCCTTTAGGAGAGAAAAGTCCCATTGCAAGCTTTCTGCAAAAAAACAAGACCGGTGGAATGCATCATATCTGCATTGAGGTATTTTAACACAATATATCATACAATAAGATGCATAAAAGTACGCATAATTTTTTCATAGGTTTGACCTATTTCAAGAACAAATATATAAAGCTGTCGTATTTGTAAGAATTTATATTGCATAAGAAGAAGTCTTAAATGTGCCTTTTTTTGTGTTTTGGAAATCACAGTTCAATTTCATGAGCTATGTGATAATTTTTTTCCTCTTTTATGCTATAAAGATTAAATTGGGGATGGGAAGGTTAAGTGTCTGGTGTGGAAGGTGGACAAGCCCAAGGGCTTATGAAGAGTGTTTGACAGGTGTCAGCTTCCTGACAGAAAGGACATACAGTGGAAAAAGATGGAGTTGTAAATTTAAGCTAAGGCATAAGTTTAGATTTTCAGAAGTTTCTTCCTGTCTGGTATTTAGTTACTAATTGTATACAGAAGTCAAATAAGATTGTCAGTTGTACTTACCAAACAGCAGTAAAGTCTCCAGAGTTTCTTCTGTCCTGTTTTTCCTTGTCCAGCAGAGAGATTGGGCTGGAAATACACAAGATGTAAAGGTGCTGGGTAAAGTAGTTTATTTAATGCACTCATATTTTAGTCTAGGTGTTTGATGCAACATTTCATGCTGCTGCCTATGATATATGTTTTTAATATCTTACAGATCTGAGTCTTGCAAACTTTATTATTTCATGCAAAATGTAATAATAAAAAGTAATGGGATTGCTGATGTGAGTAAAAATTGTTTTCAGAATACATCCGTAAAGACCAGTGTTTGCAGTTGCATACTTCCATTGAGAATTGAGAAATTTTGCACACACACAGGCATTGCAATTTTTCTTACATTAAGTTTGCCTATTTGCAGATGTTCCAAGAATAAGAATATTAATTCCGTTTAAATTGATTCTAAATTGTATTGCTAGGCAGTTTTGCTATAGAAATGTGAAAAGACCTCATCTGAACTTAGGAAATGGGGGGTGTAGAAGAAAGAAATGATTTGCAGTAGGACCAAAAAAAACCTCCAGCCCTCTACAAGACCAGTGGTACTTACTTACGGGTACAAGAGAAAGAAGTTGTATGCATTTCTCAGCAAAAAGAGCTCAAAGCTCTCAAGGGTTTCACATATATGTAACCCCTTTAAAGATGTTTCAAGAAATATTTGCTACCAACTAAAATTGCTCTGTGTAGATTTTGTATGAGAGATTATCTTGTTGCAGATAAACCAAAGATGGCTGTCAAGGGAAGTCACACTGATAATTATGAAAATTTAGAAGAATGGGACATGCTAATTACGTCATGTTGGACAATGTAGAAGTGTTGTGTTAAAAAAGAAAATTTATAACTGTACAGTAGGTCAAGCAAGCCAGGAATCACAATCTAGCAGTTAATTTCCATTAACCGGAAGAGCTAATACTACTTACAGCCAGATTTTCCTAAATGAAGTTTTGTAACTCACTAATAGATTCTCTACACCCACACACCAAAAAAAAAAAAATTAAGAAAAATATTATCCTAAGTCCGTCATGTTTGTCTCCATGTAAAAACAAATGATAGACTAGTTTACAGGCAGAAAAAAGCAGTCCATTGTTGACCTGCTGTTTAAGTGGGACTGAAAACAGATTTGGTCACTACCATAGTTATTCAAAAAGATATTAACCTCCCTCCTCCAATTTTCCATTCTCCTCAGAATGGAAAATACTACAATTTCAAAGATATGTCATCTTCTGAAGTTGAGTAAAAATAGTCTTCAGAAAAACTATAAAAGAACTTCAGTGTCTATGGATTGTTCATTTGAAATTTTAAAAATATTTTGTAAAAATATCTATGAAAAATTTTATTGAAAAAAGCTGAATTGTAAAATTTTTTTCCATACTGGAGGGGAAGCCTGACAAGTTTATCAAAATGCTTTTCATTTGTTCTTTCCGTCTCATTATTCAAAGGAAAATTTTAGACAGATGTTTTGATAGAGAATTTGTTTCAGACAAAATACACGTTTTAAGAAGAAATTGAAATTATTCCTGACCAGCTATAATTGAATTTAATACCTGCAATGAAAAGCATGCTGGACACTCTGTAGCATAAGAGAGAAATCTGAGCCTGATACTCTCCTAACACGGATGCACCCACAGGCTTTCCAGTGTTTACTCACACAGCTTCCTTGGGGATGCAGTAATTCATTCCAGCTGAGCCCAGACAGTGTTTCTCTTCTAGCCACCTCTGCAGGACCAGAGCAGCAGCTGCAGCGGCTTTTCTGCTTGGGGGGAACAACTTGGAGGGGGCTATGGCACACATCATATGTGCTGTTTTATTTTAGATAAAACTTGACAGTCATTTCTGGGTTTTTTTTAGCAGAGTGGTAGTTGTGTGTAGGAAGAACTGTAGTGAGTTCAAAATTTTCATGAACAAAACTGCTGCAAATGAGTAGGCATGTCTGTTCCTCTGAATTAAAGCTAGGTATTTCCTTTTACCCTACAATGACATCATGCATGTTTATTCACCAAGCTATGTCCAGACACCTCATTCATGAAAAATAGTGCTATTATTTTAATTCTAGGTCTTTACTGGTTATCAACTCTTTGATTTGCTAAACTGAGTGCTAATTATATTATTTCTAATAATGAATGTATTTAAGGTTTGGGAAAATTTAAATTTCATCTGATGACATAAGACTTAAGATCACATTATACAGCATAGACACGTTTTTGTCATTTATGTATTTCGGAGGAAACTCTACTGAAATATTCTGTTAAAGGTTATTATTATAATTAAGTTCAATAGGAAACCCAGGTTGTATTCTGGGTATGTTTCCGATAATTCCAAGGTTTTTCTTAGGAAACTTTATGAAGCTTCACCTACTCAGAAGGAGGATATGTAAATCTAAAAGGGACTTCACTTTTACCTTCTGCCCATTACCTTCCGTTTTCACCAGCATCTAATGAGTCAGTATTCTGTCATCAATTAGACAGGGAGGCATTCTTCTTTAGTTCTTGATAGTTTGAAGGATATGATCTTCTTAGTAATAGTAATGCAGAGTGGAGTCCTTATAAAGTAACAACATAAAAAAAAATGGGCTTTGTTTATGAGTGTTTTTTGTTTAATAATTTCTTAAATATAGTACAGTCCATTTAAACAGTATTTTATAAAATCTTCAAATAACAAATGCAAACTTATGTAGGATTTTTATTTTTAAGACTAGATGTTTTAAAACTGTTTTATATTTTGATTTATTTTCAGAATTATATTAGAATTTAGAAATAATATTTTATTAAGGAATTACATTATTGCTCCTAAGTGTAGAATCTGCATAATACAGTGTAATATGTTAATTTATGTGAACTGTATTTTTCTTTTCTAAGGTTGATGACATAAAAGCAGCTATGACAGAACTGAAGAAAAAAAAGATACGAATATTGAGTGAAGAGCCAAAAATAGGTGCACATGGCAAACCTGTGATTTTTCTTCACCCTAAAGATTGCTATGGAGTCCTTGTGGAACTTGAGCAAGCTTGAGCTGTAATATTCATAAATAAAACAATAGATCAGTTGTGAAGTTACTGAGCTGGTGCTGGGAATATTGATGTGGTATTCGGTCTTTACAAGTTCACTGTAGTTCCTGTGCATTAAGTACAGCTTTTGAGTACTGAAATTGTGCTACAGATTTAGGGTAGTTTTCTTTTTTTTGTTGTTGTTGATCTGATTTTCAGGATTAATAAGATGACATTTCCTGAATTCTCTGTGATTCTAAAGACAAATATATGAGCCAAGCTACATATGTAACACAGTAATTTATGTTCTGTTGCCTCATGTTTGCAGCATGATTCTACCTCTGTAACCACAGAAACTGTACAGTTTCTAGGTCAACCCACATTATTTTGTTCTACATTTCAGAGCAGAGACCCACTTCTCAGTGACAACAATATAGCTTAGATATTCCCTTTGGAAATAAAGGAAAAACAAACATTGTATTTTCTGTTTTCACCATTCACCATCTGTGCCTCACACTGATTGATTGGTTCATGCAATAAAAAGATCCTTGTTATTGTATGGGTGTCTGCAATCAGTAAATAAGTTTTCTTGGCAATTACTGCCAAGGAAGTTGCCATGCATGTAAATCATCATCTAGTTCTTTTATGAACTCTGTGGATATTCATGCAATGTGAGAAAAGTACCTGAAAAATATTTTGCCTGAAATATATTTCAGACTGTAAGGTACTTGTCACATTTTAGTTTTTCTTCAGGTATTGAATATTTGTTTTTCAAGCTTTATCCATAGGAAGATATCTAGGAGAGACCTGAACAAAGAGCAATTAATCTTTTAACTTTAAAAATACCGTTTTCCTATGCAAAGGCACTTACAAAATCAGTGGAAGACAGGCTGCATAAGTCTTGGTTATGTACACTGTCTTTAACATTAGAGAGCATGCCAGCATGCCTGTGTTTCTGATAGACTGCAGTCACAGTTTGTTGACTTATTCATGGACAGACTTCACTTTATTAGTGTACCTTAAGCAAGTAGTGTTTGTCCTGATACTTTCTTTTATAGGTTTGTTTTGGCATGTCAGCTGTAGAAATTGAAGACTTGCTGTTTCTCTCTCCAGTCTTCTTAATACTTAAAAGTCATATTTTTTCCTAGCTAATGGCAATGGAATTATTTGTGTTCTGTGTCATGTTTGCTACAACAAAATACAAGTATAATGTTGACCTGAGATTTAAACAGGGCTCTAAACACAGTGATGCTTCCTCATGAATTCTACTTCTGAAAAAAAACCTCTGCAAAGCCATGCATTTTGTTAAAAACAAGATAGTTTTGTACTCAAAATATATGCTCCTTCTGTCATATTTTAAGAAAAATACAGTATTCCGCAGGGTTCTTGCATTTCATCAAATCACTGTTGAGAGGGTAGTTTGTTTAAATTTAGAATTCTAAATTGTTTAAATTTAGAAATCCTAAGGCTCGTGATGGAAAAGCAGGATGATTTGATCTTCCTGAAATATGATTCTGCCATTCTAGGAGACATTCTATTAGCAAAGCTGCTTTTGTCTTTCAGTTCTTTCAAAACCAGGGAGGCATCTTTTCTGCAAAACTATCAAGCCTCACTGGCAACATGTCAAGGTAATTGAACATAAGTCTTTGAACCTAATACCCTTAGTTTGGTGCAACAGAAAACAGGGCAGTCCTCCACAGGTTCATACTGCATTTCTTTGTCCTGTCTGAAGGAGATAGAATTTTGTATATGACATCTATCAATACACTCAGAGTAGTAGCTTGATACAGTACTAGGGAATGGAGACTTTGAGTAAACACCACTTACTCCACTTGCCTCATTGGGTTCCCCATCTTATTAGCAGAAAGAGACTTGTAATGCTTTTAGCTACTAACCAGCAATTTTCCTGACTGACTGCAGTGGGGTTGCCTAGCACTAAGTCAGCTGATGTATTTTGATCATCATAACTAAGTCATGCTCCTATCTCACTCACAGTTTATACATTTCATCTGACTTCTCCTAAAGTGGAAGTCAAAATGTTAACGACAACAACAACAAAAAAAAAAAAAAAAAACCACAAAAAAACAAAAAGAGAGTTTAGGTCTGCAAAATTAGTTACTACCCAAAACTAGGGCATGCTTATTACAAGCTCTTAGCATTTGGTTGGATCAGACCTCCTTACTTGCCTAGGTATGCACTACAAGATACGAGAATTTCCATCTCTGGAGCTGTAGACTTGGAAGGAAGAGCCAACAGACCTGGACAGCTGAAGAATCTGAAGACAGCTAAGACGCACTGAGACAAGTTTCCTGTTCATAAGCCTAACTCCCACAGACTTCAGTGGGAACAGGATCATCCCCCATGCTTGTAACAAACTTCTAGTCCTTCAGCTTGAACAAGACAGCCTTCACAAGTCACTATTTGTTCTGACTTTCTAAGGGGTTTGGGGGGCAGGGTTAGATATATGGGCCTTACCTTTTGTCACTCCCATGATTATAAGAGGGGAATAACATCAAGAAAAACAGGGATGGAAACTGAAGCAAGAGAGAACTGTGATTTGTTTCTTCCAGTGGAGGGACAATTAATAATATACCCCTGTTGCACCAGTATACAACTTCTGGAAAGAACAAGAGTGATTCAAGTAACAGGAGCCTGATTAGCTCAGATGAGAATTAGGCTTTGACAATGGGTACTTATTTCTGTGGGTTTTTTTCAAAAGGTATAGTGAAACATCCTTTTCTGATAATGTCAAGCTTTTCAGAAGATTAAGTGTTAGTATTTTGCCAGTAAGTTTTCTCACACTTGGGTCATTTGTCAAGTGCAAGTTCCCTGATCCATTCTCTCCATGTGCCTTTTTTTCCCTATGAGCTCAAGCGTGTTCCCATTTTATGCCCCCTGAGGCAGACAAAACACATTTTTCTGGACTCCATCAACATTACTCAGGCAGCTAAAGGGCTTATAATTAAATGATGTAAAATATCTTTTTGACTTCCTCTATGCAACCCTTAAGTCTCTCCTAGGTGGGAGGAGAACAAGCTGCAGAATGAATCCCATTCCGTGTGATGAGACAAACCTAGAAGCAAACTCAAAAAGCTGGGAAAAGAGCTGACTACATGCCTCTTAAAAGCTAACTTTACAATGTTGCAAATCTGCAAAAACTCTGATCCCATCATGCTTATACTGCCATTAATAATTCCCTTGAAGTAAAAAAAAAAAAACAAAACCCAAAAACCAAGAAACACCACTGGGTATTTAACTCTGAATTAAATTGCTTTCATTATTACCATATTTATCCGATTCATCACAGGCTTTGTAAGAACGTACTCTATCATCATTCCACAGCTATAGTGCCTTAATACAGTTAATACAGCCTGAAAATTTAGAAAGTTGTGAATGAATTACAAGAGGAACTGAATATGGCATTTGCTTCTGCAGACCACTCCCTGGGTGGATGATACTTCTGTGTTTAATGCTGAGACTAGAGTTTACTTTCCTAAGGCACATGCATAAGCTTTGCTGTCTGTTGTTAAGGACAGTCCTTGGATTTGGACATTATTGCAAAGATAGGTGAGTGGGCAGTGGTGTGTCCAAGGAAATCTCATAGAAAGACCGGGAAACATGGAGATGTTGTTGAGGTACTTACAGTAGGTGCTCTGAATTATTTCCTTGGCACTTCATTTGATTCTCTCCTTAGAAGAAATTCTTCCTGTAGTGATCTGACTTGGGTTTGTTGGATTCAGGAATCCTTAATTAAGAGAAAAAGTTAATTGTTTCAGTAAGTACCCATGCTTTTACCAAAGCAGTTGACATGTTGGCCAAATGACTAGACTGTGAAACAGAAGAAATCCCTAAAATGGCAGCCCTGGTGCTTCCCATAAGGGTACTGAGTAGCACTAGACACAAAAAGGTAACCAACAGTTTAAACTTGGAACATCAGATCATGTAAGATTAATATGGAAATGGAAACTAAGAAGAATGTATAAATTAATTGGCCCAATGCTGACAATTTAAAAATGGAAGACCTCACCTTCATAGGAATGCAAAAATCCATCACCTTTGATAAATATTTTCAAAGCAGTTTGAACATTTTATGAAATGTAAATTTTATCTTATTCTGAAGGAGGCAAGTTTGCCTCCCAGGATGGTATAATCTTTAAATATCTATAAAATGATGTCATCTATCTAGCTTCAAGTTCATTTGCACTGTCTTGCATATTGTTAAATATCATCGTTAACTGCAAAGTTTATAGCATAGATGCACAAATGAGGAAGAGTTCTCAAACATTTTAAAGCAATGATACATTTTGAAGTACTTCATGACTTTCCTAGGTGTAATCTAAAGCGATCTTTTAACTGTTATGCTTTGTTAACATAAAAATAGCAAATAGGTACTAAAATATTCTATAAAATAGATCTTTAATGAAGATTTTTACTTGCTTTTGACATTGCATTTTTTCAGCAATAAAGATAGGTTTGAACCAGGATTAAAAAAAAAAAAAAAAAAGTTCTGTAGTAACTAGTAACTGTGGGTACTCTGAAGGCATATGTGATGATAAACAGTTTGCATTAAATAGGGGGAATATCCTACTTCTGCATAAGTGGCTGGATTGTATGGAAAAGATTATTTCCAGAAGTTGAAGAGTAGTAGAAAGGTACCTTATTGGACTGATATTGTGCACCTTATTTTTACCTTACATTTTGGTATGTAATTTTCTATAATAACCAACTTTATGAGTCACTGTCACCAAAATGAGGGGGGGGCGAGGACAATGTGTGTTAGGCACTTAAGTTAAAAAACATATCCCACTCGCTTTTGGACCCTTGCAATCTTTGAGAGATCAGTTGTAGTAAAATACTTGCAACTGCAATAACTTAAAAAAAAAAAAAAACAATTTACCACACAGCAGCCCTATCGAGCTGAGAATACTGCTTTTGGTATATTGATTGAGAAAGTGAAATCTTCTTTATGTACATGAGGATATTTCATCAAGTTAACAATTTTGAGATATACAAATAAAAACATGATTTGTCAAATGCTTAAACAACCCATCTACAGATTATATATAACTTGCTGTAGTTCTGTGTAAAACATACATGCATCACAGTTTATGCAATGTTTGAGTTCTCATTATCTTCACAAGAGAACCAAAATCAAGCAAGTAATTCGGATATAGAAAAGGACAGATAAAAAAAGTCGCCATAGGAAACCATGATAGAAAATAGCCTCTTAGTAGCAAATGGCTACTCTGTAGTTAGTGAATCTTAACAGAAATCTTAACAACAAAAAATGAGAAGAAAAAAATCCCACAAAATGGTGTTTCCATGAAGGGCCTTGGCATGTACATGGAATTTGACTTGGTGCTAAGCAACTGGTATAGCTACCCCAAGGGCAAACAAAAGCACACCAAGTTGAACACACAGCTATGACAGCAAACACTGATACCTAGCTGACTGGAATGCAACATAATTACACTAGGACGGCTTTTCACTTTTGCTGTCATGAGAACGATTATTTTTTACACTCAAGAATAGCTACAAGTATCAAATTTGCATACTTAT